CTCCGATGCTGTGATAGGTCAGGTTTCTCTTCTGCGAAAATCCTTGCTGGCTAAGGGAGAGCAACTGTGGAGCAAACAAGCTTACCTTCACTGGTGATGAATGAGATGAACTCGCTGACGCATTCTTGCATGCATTCCTTCGCTTCTTTCGCAATCTTTGCATTCTCGGGAAGAGCATTCTTCATAATGCGGGCGACTGGAGCAAAGTTTCGTATGTTAGCGTCAAGCTCATCATATTTTTCGCCACTAGAAGCGCCTGTTGCTTCGGGGGACTTTGGCGACGAATCGTGAGACATGACGACTCGAGAGCGCAAAACGACCGTCTGAACCTTCGCGCCTCAAACACGAACAGCAACGAGAACCAGACAAGCGAATAGCACGCAGACAATCCAATCCAGTAGAAAGACAGCGTTCACGGAGTTTGCTGGCGCGTACGAACCAAAAGTCCAAACATCGTCGTCGTCGTCGTCGTCGGTGAGAAAGGGGAATATGGCTTACCATTGGCTATGGGCAACCAGCGGTCCTGTTCCTTGACCTCGAACTCGGCGTAGGCCAGGCCACCGGACTGTGGGTCTTGAGGCTCGTTCATTTGTTCCTCTTCCGGTGATTGTACACCTTGCTCGACATCCTTGGGAGGAGATTGGGGGGAGTCCGACATATTTGGCTACCTGCAGCGGCTGCTGGCGTTCTTGTAATTTGCTTGGGTTCTTGCAGCTCGCACACACGGGCTTGGGATGATGTGTCCCCTGACACGTTGCAGGACCGTAGGGCTTGCAAGTCTCGCGGCTTAGCTGCAGAAGCGTGCGTCAATCCTGCCCTGGACCCCTCGGCTTGTCCTTGAGATGGGTTATTTTTACTCGCGATCCCCTGGCAGGCCCTGTCTTGACTTCAGGCTATGACGGATCGTCCTGGGGTTGGCCTGTCTGCTGCCTTGACCTGGCAGACTTGGGAACAGAGACTGGGAAAAAAGCGGGAAGAGGGTGGCTGCGTCTGCGGGTCCCACAGGAACGGCCGTCCTATTGAGTCCGAAAGAGGGTAGCGTTGATGCTTCGTGATCGCCCTGCTGCAGCTGTGGGTATACGCGCTCCTCCGGGTTGGTGCTCGAAACTCGGCGCGCGGATTTGACCCGTTGGGTTGGTGTAGAGAGAAGAGGAGACTGGGTTCGCGAGTCGCAAATGGGGGGGTGAGATCAGGTCGAATCAGCAGCCCCGAGGCGAGAATACGGTACTTTGTTCCTGGTAGAAGGCGATGCGGAGTGCTGCGTCGAGGAGGCGCGTGGGCAGCCGGTCTGGTACCAGTAGAGATGCTTGTAGTCCGTAGTCGTCGTGACTTTGGCGGAGCTTTGGGCGCGCAAGAGTCGACCTGTGGTTACACACCGGGCTATCGGACGGGACAGCCGTAGGTAGCGGGCTCGAGAAGTAACAGCTGCAAAGTCGCGTCAGAGAAAGCTTCGCTTGGCCCGAACAGGATAGGGAGTGACGGGAGTGGGAGTGCGACAGCGACTGGTGGGAGAGGAACAAGCAGAGAAGGGCGACGGCGCGTGGCTGCTGGTGTGTATGGAGATGGGGCAACGTGAGGGCACTGGACTGGAGGAGGGGGGGCCCAGGTCAAGTGCCGTTCGACAGGGTCTGGAAAGTTTTTGGTTTGTTCCTTACAAGATTCAGGGTGTATGAGTTGTTCGATCGAGGTCGCAATAGAGCCTAACAATGCGCCTGGTTTCTGGCGGATGCACCTGTACGTGTTGATGGCTGCAAGAACGTGGGGTTCGCAGTTGGTGCAGAAGGGAGAAATGGAGGAGAGTGGGCAAGAAGGTGCGGTCAACAAGACCTCCAGCGCATTAAACACAATAACAACGTCCATGTCCTCCCAGGTCGCGAAGCCCACCACCCGTTTTATCGATAACATGGGCGGTACTTGCCCGGGCTGAGCCCTACCACCAAAGATTGAGGTACCTGTCAGCGCCACTGTCCCGTCCAAGGATTAGCGCGGTACCTCCAGCCCCCCATCATCCGATCCTCCTCCCTAACAACGCGGCTGAGAAGATGCGCTGCTGCTGCGACTGCTCTTCGCATTCTCCATTTCTCTTGCGCGCTCGGATGTCCCTCGGCCGTCGGGTGTCTGACGACATACTTGGATCTGAGCCCTGCTGTTGCTGTCAGACGAAAGCTCAAGCAAAGATGAACCACCACACTGGCGCCTTGACGATGCGCGAGGGGATTCCCAAGAGACGACCAAGAAGAGACTGCCACTGCCCGCCGTCTTGTACCGACACTCCCGCCTAGCAAAGTTTGATGTGTCATTGCATGCATTTAATGCTGTATCAACTATCAACACGGACTCTTTCTATCCTGCCCATGCTCTGGTATATGAGCGGTGTAGGCGGCACGAAGCCACTAAGCTCGGAGGAGGGTAGCAAACATGGCTACCTTGCCTTACACCGGCGGGCGGATGCCAAGCAGGACATGCAAAGCAGTACGACGGGCAAGACGGGGACGTCGACGCAAGTTCCTGCTTCCTGCAGACTTGCTGACGGGATTGAAGGTGGAATTTGATGCCCCGTCCTTTGGTTCTCACCCGCGACGGGCGTCGTCGACGCAGCAAAGCGATGCAGCTCTCATCGCAAGCAGAAGCTGTTCCGTCGACGCGCCTCTTCCTCTTCGGCCGTGCGACGTTTTAGCAGATTGGGCTATCCATCCGCCGTCGCGATGAGATCGAAATGGAGGGCGACGGCGCCGCTTGATTTGACAATGGCACCATCCATAGTGAACAAGCCATCGAGCCTGTCACCTGTCTTCCTCAAGTCCGCCCCCAACCTAACCGGCACAGTCAGGCACGGGGGAGGCTGACAGCAGCCTAAGGAAGCGCCCCGAATGACGACGGCCGACCGTTTGGGCCGAAACCTGCGCCTTGGTTGGCGGCAGCCTGCCTGCGAAGTACCTGCCACCCATCTTGGCCAAGGTACGGCAGTCAAAACCGCTCCTCCAACGGGCAAAGGAGGGAGCTTGAAGCTTGGAGCTTGGGCGCGAGGCTGCGTGACACAAGCTCGATTCGAGCATTCTCGGCCAATGAAAAAATACCGATAGCTTCCTGTTTTCTTGATTGGCACAAAATCCCCCAGATACGTCAGAAGCCCTTCAGTCTGTGGTCGTTTGTGCCAACGACAACGCGGAGAAATTCTTCCAATGCCCGCGGCGAAGCGCCGGTCACCTATCGGCGGCCCATCGCCTTACGTCTGACCCTGCATGCAGTAATGGACAGACAGACAACCCGCCTGGCCCAGCCAGTCGTCCACCGCAGTCACTAGGCACTGCGACCAGTATGGTTGGGCTCCTTTAATTCTGTCGGGAGCCAATAGCCCTCTAATTGGGTTGGGCTGGGATTGGACGACTTTTGCAGCATCATCTGCGTTTGCGTTCCGCATCTATCTAAAAAGACCACCATATCCGATGCACTGATTTCTTCTCTAGTTTTCCACAACCCTTGTCCGGATGATGCGGTTTCCACCCCTCCTCCAACGGCTTTTTTGTCGCTCTCGAGAGGGGTACCACATTCGGTCTTCCCTCGCCTCTGCGGGTGAATTCGACTCTGTCACAGCCGTAATGGTTGCATGAGTTGGCTGCGCTTCTCTCATCCTGGAGACATTGACAACTCAGAGCCACATTTCTACAACCCCCGGTCGTCCACAACGTCGCCGAGATGCAACCGGTGTGCCTCGCCCTGCCTGTTCTCAAACGATGACTGCCTGACGGCATCATCGTCATGACATGCGAGAAAATGGAACAATTCCTATTGCATCTTGGAGCATCTCGCTAGGCATGACACACATCTACCATCACAGGCGATGCCGGGCGCGCCATGGAGGTGGGATCTTGCCAGCCGGACGAGCAGTCTTCGATGCGGTCCATCCGCGACTTTGGCCATAACAGGCAATCCAAAAATACGGACAGCCCACTCTCTAACACGGTTGCTATTTTACTTGCAGGATGCATCTCACTAAATCGTACCGTGAATAGGCGGGGTGAATGTAGCCCACGGGATGCCTCCCTCATCTAGCCCCCCTCACGCAGACATCAAGCTGCGTACCATCTGTTGGGCACCGGCAACGGAACTCAGCCGCGGCTTCCAGAATACGCATGATATCACGCCCGGGGAGCATCCAAGATGAAATCAGTCCATCATCGCAGCCGTCACGTTTCATCTCTCGGCAATTACGAATCGGATGCCTCCGCCATTCTGTGGCTAAGTCTTGATCGGCGCCTGACCTACCGACGGGCAAAAGCAGCCTCGGCCGGATGGGCCGGTCCGTCGCCTCCACCCCCGCCCGCTCCTCCGACGAGAACACGGCAGCGTCGCAGTCCTCTCATGACCCGGCCCTCACGTGCGGAAGGGGAGGTCTGGATGACCTAGTAGCCCGAGCTGACGAACTGCCGTTCCAGAAGACCTGACCACACCACCATCACTGGGCCGCATGGGACGCAGCCAGTCAGCACGCCTCGTCAATCGGGGTATTCTCAGCCAGCCATAGCAACCACCACCTGTATGTCACCTTCGAGTAGGGTGGTGTGTTCGTCTGACGACCTTTGGGACATAATACTGTTGGGCACTGAAACGCCCTTGCCGCCGGGCTGTATTTGTTGCGTCTGTGTGCCTATGGCGCTGTGCAACGCATTGCTATCACTACACCACCAACACGGCCTCCATCGCGATGACCTCTCCCGAGAATTGTCGTGTTTTCATCGGAATCTTGCTCGCAACAAGCGTAGTGCAGCCTCATTCTTTCATCTTGCAAACGTATCGAGACATCTCACATCTCATGGTCTCTTGTAGCATGCAACGACAGCTCAGCATCGGAAGCTCAGACGTGAAGAGCTAATGCCCCGAGCCGCTGTGAGACAACCAGTCCTTCCTGGGCACGACTTTGGCAAAGAACGGTCGTCAGGCCTCCGAGACAGAGTGCCAACCTGCAGAGCCCGCCGGTCGGCTAGCATATCCTCAGGGTCTCAGTTCTGGACAACCTGGACATTGTTCTTCTTCTGCAACCCCAAAGCCGTCAGCAAACAGCCCCTCAATGACGTCGCCCACCCGAAGGAAACCAAAGTGGGCTGATGGCTCCATGTCAGGAAAAAACATACCTTCCACTTCTCCAGCTCATCCTGCTTCGTCTTGTACTGCTTGACCAAGTCCTCCAGAACCTTCTTCAGGCCCTCCGAGTTGGTTGTCAACGCCGGCAGGACGTCCTTGACCGTCTGCTCCATCAACACGCCGTTGATCAGGCGGAAGGCCTTGCGATCCCCGGATAGCGGCTGCAGCGTCTCTAGTACGAGCCTGTTTTTCTCCCCCGTCAGCATGACTCTTTTGCCCGTCTTTCTCTCTCATATCTGTCCCATGATGTAACAAGCGGTGTGATATGTGAAGATGTCATGTTGCTCTCAAGGGGGGTCTTGATGAGGAGCGGTGTGCGTGGCGACCAGGACCCGGCTCCAAGGAGAGTTCATGACACCCCCGGACGACGTAGTTGCCTTGCCCCGCGATCCTGCTGTCGTGAAGAACACCAGGGGGAACCATCGCATCAAGACGGCGGGTGAGTGAAATGAGGAAAAGACGCACTTATGCTCTTCGGCTTCTTGCTCGACATCACCGATCTTCTGCGCAATCTGCTGCAGCGTGTTCTTGTAAATGCCATATTGCGTTTGCAAATCTGTAGTAGTTTCAGTACGTGGACGGCCGATGGCGGGGTGAGATTTGCTTCACACAGCACCCTGGGAGCCATGCATTGGCCTTTGCCTCAGGGCACCCTCTGCGTCGTGGAAATGGAACTGACCTTGCTGCTTCCGCTGGCTAGCTGCTGGCGCCGACATCTTGACCTAAACTTCCGATCAGCGCGACGGCCGATGTATACGTGTGTGAATAAGGTGAGAGTCGTCGACGGGAGACAACGAGAGTGAGGACCTGAAATGAGCCTGTCACCCTACCACCAACTGCGGTGGAAGTTCTAGAAGGCAGTGGTCCGAGCTTTTACCGCAGTGTCCACCGCCCCCCCTGGTCAGTGTCACGGCGCGGCGCCCGTAAAATCAATCAAAGCCCGGCGCGGCGAACCAACCGCTTCTCGCCCCCCCCCCCACTAGATGGTGGTCTCATCCAATCCCTCGCCGTCCATTTAGCACTTTTCCATATCGAATTTCTTTTGCGCCATTCGCATCACGACTTGCAGTGCCAGAAATCACGATTCTTCTACACGACCGAACGTCCCGCATTCTCGTGTCACCAAATCTCCATACAGCCGCCCGCCATGCATCCCCATCTGCACACCAAGGACAACTTCGGTCAGTAGAACCCCTCCTGCACCGGGACTCATCCCCCACGCCACCCTTCGAAAGCGAACCATTGCGCAGCAGCAACATTGCAAGATTTCGAATTCGCTGACAGAAGTCTCTTGGGACACACAGAGTGCGAAGACGTCATGGTCGCCCTCGAAGAATGCCACGCAAGGGGCTTCCTGCACAAGGCCACCGGCGGCTGCAACGACGCCAAGGACAAGCTCACCCAGTGCCTCAAGGGCGCGCGCGCGAGGCGCACCGAGGCCAACCGCGCGGCGGCGCGGGCCAAGAGGGAGGAGCGCGAGAACAGGATCAAGGAGCTGAACAAGTCCCTCGGTCTCGATTAAGTTGATAGAAACCAAACCCCGAACGAAACGAGCGAGCCGAACGAAAGGAGACAAGAGGACGGAGGCGGCATTGTACGATACAGGGCGAAAATCACAACTTCATTGCGGGATCGGCGTCATGGAACAGGTTGCATATTTACAAAAAGAGCGCGGGACAACTGGGTTCAGAGGTACATCCTGTCAGGGAGTAATGTTGTACAATACGATCTGGGCCGCCGGACTGCCCGATGGAAAGAGATGGTTTTCTATCCCTCTCCTCTGCTCATTTACGGCTGGCCATGTGTGAACGAAAAGCAAAGAGTGTACCATTTCACTCCTCTCCCACCGCCGCAAGGCTTTACAAGCTACGACTGAACTCCCTGCCGAAGGTCAACAGACCGAACAGGGACAACACGCTCAATCCGATCGGCACGGGCTTGCGGAGGCGGATGGCGCGGGGGATGGCGGAGCCACCGAGGACTGCCGAGGCGAGCAGACTCAGCTCGACGCCGTAGGATTCGCGGTTCTGAATGCGGTAGCCACCAAGGGCGTCTGTTGCTGAGTTAGTCGGGGGGTGTTTCTCGGTTGCCCGGGGGCATTGCAAAACAGCAGAGGGAGGGAGAGAGATGTCGTACAGAGGAATCCAACGGCGCATCCGGCGATGATGGATGGGAGGGACTTCGTCCGGGCGTAGCCGGCAATGCCGCCGCCAGCAGTCAGAACGGCGAGGACGTACGAGGGGGTCTGGAGGTCGGAAGCCTGTGCGCCTTGTCAGCTATTATTCCACTTTGTGCTCTGACATAGCAAACGGACCATTGCGACTATTATTTGATTTACTGTCGGAATACTGTGCAATTGAAAATCTCGCAAACCGTAGAGAGCAATTGGTATGAGCTGGCTGGTTAGTATCGTTCGTAGCGGTACTGCAGAAGATGGGGGAAACTTCCAACGTGGTTCGGTGCCTCGGGAGTCCAAGCTTTCGGCCGCCCACCCACCAGCTGCAGCTCAGGGGATGATCTCATCCATTCCGCACAACAAGATCTGACTAATCAGCTCAAGGGACCGGCTCCTACCCCAGATTCGTGGCTTGACCCCTGCCGGTAGCCGCCTCACCAGCCACAATCACCTGATAACGTGGCTTCAAGCTGTCGTGTCCTCGAAAGGACAGCTCCCCCAGCGCAGCTCCCAGGCCACTTTACTCGTAGCGGCCGCGCATTCGTAAACCTCGATACTCGCCGCGACCCAAAATTCCCACGACGAATCCTCCCACCCCCGGAACCGAACCCCAGTCCCTACCGACGACCTCTTCTCAACTTCAACGACAAGCACGAGAGAACACCAAAAAAAAACAATGGCGCCCAAGAAGAACGCCAACAAGGCCGCTGCCGCCGCCGAGCCCGCCCCGGCTCCCCCCTCGGCGCCCGCTGGACCGACCGCCGCCGCCGCGATCCCGGGCACCATGACCTCCCAGCCCAAGGCCGTCCCCAGCACCAAGATCTCGAGCGGCGGCGCCCAGAACTGGGACAAGGTCCTCGCCAACATCTACAACCACTACGTCAACAACACCCCGCAGCGCACCAAGCTCATCGACGTCTTCATGGTCTTCCTCGTCGCCGTCGGCGCCCTGCAGTTCCTGTACTGCGTCCTCGCTGGCAACTACGTACGTCTAGGTCCCTTTTGTAGCTTCGGAGGGCTGCGTCTTGTGCTTCTGGAGAGGCATTGGGGCCTTTGTCGCAGACCAATGGACGTGGGAGGACTGGAGACAAGGAACGCTAGCTAACATCTGTGTGAACAGCCCTTCAATGCTTTCCTCTCCGGCTTCTCTGCCACCGTTGGACAATTCGTCCTCACTGGTTCGTTTATCGAACATCTCCCGCTCTCGATCCAATGGTCTAACAAACCCTCTCAGCTTCCCTTCGTATCCAGACCACCGAGGCCAACAAGGCCGACTTCCCCTCTGTATCACCCGAGAGGTAAGCCAGCTCAGCTCGCAACAACCCTTGACATGACTAACAGCAATCCAGAGCATTCGCCGATTACGTCGCATGCAGCTTGATCCTCCACTTCTTCTGCGTCAACTTCATAAACTAAGCGTCGATAACGACTTGCCATTAACAAACACCATGGGTATCCAAAAGGGGGTTACTCAGGGGTGACCAAACGTGTGTGGGAGATAGAAGAGAGAATCTGAAGCAGGCCTGAACAGCCTAGCCGAGCCGCCGTATGGTCATTAAAATGCGGGAAACAAACGAATACAAACTGTACATTACAGAAGCAAGGCGTTGCATCACAGCACGGGGGGTTAGACCGTCGTATAACAAAAGCACAAAGAAATGCAATTCTGGGAATCATCATGTCAAGTACCCGCGCGACTTCTCATTTCTATGCACCCACTCCCTCCGACCTTTTTGTCCCTGAAACGTCACTCCTCACCGCCCTCCTCCTTCTCCTTTGGCGGCGACGTCGTCCCGGCCCTAGGCGGCCCCGGCGGCGGTCCCCCCGTCTTCGGAGGCGGCGCGACAGGCGTCCCACGTCCACCGCTCGAAACCCCGTCGAGCTCCCTGCTCTTCTTTTCCTGCTCCTTGAAGTAATCATCCATCATCGCGTTGCCCCCGTGGTGCCTGTCCTTCTTTTTCCTCGTCGTCGCCGTGCCCGCAGGCGGAGGCGGCGGCGCGCTGCCCGCGGCGACCATCTGCGCTGGGACGAGGAACTCCCCTCCTCCCGCAACAGGATCAGCCGGCGGAGGCGCCCCGAGACCAGCGGCAGCCGGAGTGAACAAGGCCTGCCCCGCGTCCGCACCGTACGCCGCACCACCGCTAGGGTCCTTCTCCCCGTCAAACATCATCTCCCCGGGCGCGCTCACGGGCTCGTTCAGCGGCGGCGGCAAGCGGTGCAGGGCGCCATATCCCAGCACACACCCGAGCGCGCCCTCGCCGCCCCATTCGCGGCTCGGCTGGATCGTGACCTCGCGCGTGACATCGTACTCGTTGTTATAGACGTACAGGCGCAAGGGGCGGCCGATGTGGTCCTCGACGAGCTCGCTCAGACCGCCCTCGCCGTGCAGGGCGCCCTCGGGGCTGCCGAGGATGTAGTCGCCGTAGGGCAGCAGGCCGGCGGCGTCAGCGGGTGAGTTTGCGGCGACGTCGAGGACGTGCCAGATGTTGGCGGCGACGGAGAGCGGGGTGAACTGCAGGGAGAGGCCGAGTGAGGCGGTGTCGTGCGGGACGGGGGCATGGAGCTCGCGCGTGCGCTGGCCCTTTGCGGACCAGAGGCCGAGGAGGACGGTACTGCCGGCGCAGTTGCGGACTTCTTGGGCGAAGAGGCGGGGGTCGGGGTTGTCCTGTTGGTTCGTCGTCTTAGTGGTCTTGTTTTCGGAGTTGAAGGGAGAGATTGGCGAATGAGGTAGAAGGAAGAGGGCTCCAACTTACAATCGGGCGGCCGTTGATTCCAATGATGAAGTCAAACCAAGGCTCCACGTTCAGCTCGAGGTTCGTGTTCCTCAAGACCTGGAAGCCGAAAGAGCCCTGCTGATTGTTTTGCTGGGTTGGTTGCTGCCCGTCCAAGCGGGACATGAAGCGGTTCAGCGCATTGAACATGGTGTTGCGCCCAGCACTCGAGCTGAGCTATCCCGTCTACGTTGATTCGGTGGTATTGGCTGGAGATGATTGTGATTCGCAAAGTTGGGGAAAGTTATCGCGCGAAGGTGTTTGAAGCTCTGAACCATGTGTTATTTCCCCTTGGAGCAAGCTGTCATCCAAGGAATGTGAGCCAATCGTCAGCCTTGCATATGGTCCAAGCTCTTCCCGCCTTAGTGGGGCGCCTCAAGTGGGGCACTGTTTTCCAGACTGCAGTTTCCTGCAGCCTCGCTCATTCGTCTTCAACGGCCTCAGTGGCCAAAAGGTACTTTTAAACGACCATGTTTGGCCTCAACACTTGATAGTCTCCATCAAAAGCTTTGTTTCAAAGTTTCTTTGTATACTGCGTGCTTCCAAAGACTCGTGCTTCATGAATCACCATCAAAATGAAAGCAGCCGCCAGACTTCCCCTGACGGATGAGTGCCACCACTATGAATCCAAGGCCGAAGTGCCCTGGGACCTCCAAAAGTATTCAACCCCCATTCTTCTGTCCAACCATAAAAACTAACGCAGTAATCTAGATACTTCTCTCAGCGCCGCTCCATCTTCTCCTGGTATGACGACGGCGTCTACCTCACCAACGATGCCTGGTTCGGCGTGACCCCTGAACCCGTCGCCAACGCCGTCGCAAACGACATGTCCTACACGGACCCCTCCAAGCGCTTCCTCGTCGACATCTTCGGTGGCGCCGGCGGCAACACCATCGCCTTCGCCGCCTCCGGCCGCTGGGACCGCGTCATCTCCATCGAGCGCGACGCCGCCACCCTCGCCTGCGCCCAGCACAACGCAGAGCTCTACGAGGTCGCAGACTACATCACCTGGGTCCATGGCGACTGCTTCGAGTTCCTCGACAAGCTCAAGACGGATCCAGCAGGCGCGTTGGCTGAGGAGCTGCGCGTGCCCCTCGAGGAGACGGTCGTCTTCGCGAGCCCGCCGTGGGGCGGGCCGGGTTACCGCAGCGCAGAGGTGTTTGACCTGAGCAAGATGGAGCCGTATAACCTGGAGCAGCTGCACGAGGCGTGCATGCCGATGGACCATGCGCTGTTCCTCCCGCGGACGAGTGACTTGAGGCAGATTGCGAAGCTGACTCCGGACGGGGAAAAGCTGGAGGTAGTGCAGTATTGTATGGAGGGCGCAAGCAAAGCGATGGTGGCGTACATACCAGGGGCGTTCAAGCCGCCAAGTCAATCGTGGAAAATTTGAAATTCATTCAGGGCTAAGCTCTTTCTCTCTCTTTCATGGGATGATTAAAAACATGATACCTACTTTTACAACGCCTTTACCACGCTACGTTCGTCAAACAAATCCTTCAGTAGCCCCTGAATGCAGAATTCCCGGTCCAGCGGCGCCATCGCGTACGTCGACTCGAACGCGAAGATGCTCAGCTGGCCGAAGAATGGTCGTAAAATCTTGCCTACCAGCTCGTCTTTTCTGTCGATGCTGACCTCGTCGTTGATGCCGCCCGGTCCAAGAAGAGGGCGCCTGTGTGAGCTGCTCGCGGCCAGGTGGGCTGCCGGTGTGCTCTGCAGAGACAGACTAATGCCCATCGTCCCGAGCTCCTCTGAAAGTTCATCCACCAGGGCAACAGGCTGGTAGTTTGTTGATCGATACACCGCATCGATGGTGTCCGTGACGAAGAGCCACTCGTGGAGTTGGAAGTCATCAGGCGCGACGCAGATGAGCAAGTCAAGCAACTTGCATGCCTGCAAAATCGATAGGTTATTGTACATGTCGGATGCTGTGCTGTGGTCGGCAGCGACCACAGACGCGATCGCGGCGTGGAGCTCGGCGTTGATGACTGGCCAGATCATAGCCAGGTGCACCGCACTCGTCTTCAGGACCAGAGCGCGAATGAGCATGTAAATCTCTGCACGTGTTGTAGAAGATGGCGAGGACGTTGCCGTGGCACCAAGAAGCTCCACAAGCTTGTCTACGATGAGAGGAAGCTCCGTAACGTAGGCATCTTCGTTGGCGGCGAGCACCAACGTGGCAGTTCGGCGCAGGTTCAGTTGCGTTTTCCGGTCTGCCTCGAGACGTGCAGAAGTGGCTCCGACACCAAAAACGATACCAGCAGTCGTGGGAGGACTCATGCGACTCAGGAGTTCGGGCATGCGCTCCTTGTCACTGACAGTCCACTGCCTCAGCAGTGGCAACCAGTCGCTTCGCACCAAGTCGATGCTTGAGTTGAAGAACCTGGCATCGTTGAAAGCATCGCCAACGTCTTTTTTCCACGTCTTCTGATTGCTTGGCAGCCTGGACAGTTCCTGAAGCAAATCCAGGGTGTTCTTCGAGACGGTCTCGGGGAATGCCTTTGCCCTGAAAGCTGGGCCAATGACGTTCGTCGAGATGGTGCTCGCCGCGGACAAGACACGGTCAGTCTCGACCAAGATCTTGGGAAGGTTCGGGACGATTGAGGCGAGGATAGCCACCACATCCTCGGCTCTATCGAGGACGCTGACCAGCGAGATCGTGGTGGTCCGACGAATCCCATCACGATTCTTGTCGGACTTCTCGTATGCCGGGGCTGTGTCAGCAAAGGTCAAGGGCTTGGTGGTGAAAATGGCGGTAAGAAGCCGGAGGAAAAGGTCCTAGTCCAAATCAGTAAGACGAACGTGCTTACACATTGTCGCACATGACTTACCCCGAGTTCACGTCTCATCTTTCGTTGTTCGCCAAAGTTGGTGTTGTCCACCTTTTCGCCGAGAATTGCTGCGAACTCTAGAAGGCTCGGTAGCGTCTGTCGGTGCGGGAACGGGTTCGTCAACAAGTCACGCAAGAAGGCCATGCAGTCGAGCCAAATCTCATCCATTGCGTCGTCTTCCAGGGTGCGGGCGTACTCGACCAAGAAGGTGACGAGGTCGATGTCTTGTAACGATGTTGTCAAAGTTGACTTTCGAGACGCATCCAGGGCACCAGGGTTGGTTCTGCTGTAAATTGCATTAAAGATGGCAGGGATTGTGTGTTTGGGTCGAGAACCATCCAGAGCCGGCAACAAGTTGAACACTTCCGACAGGGGCACTGGTGTTGTGATATTGATGGAGCTTCTCCAGATGTCAATGACAGTCTCAAGACATTCCAGGGTCTCAGCTGCGAAGAGGTGCTCAAGCAGCCGTCTTGCTCGGTTTCTCATCCTGAGGGATGTGTAGCTGAAGGAAGCAAATGAAGTTGTGTCCTGCGCATTTGCGTCGTTCCCTTGACCCCACGACCAGATGGTGAAGCAAATACGGACGGCATCCTGGAAAGCCAAATGCACCGTAAGTCTATCATTTGCAGTAGCGCTCCTTGTTTGGGGGGTGTCCGAGTTGAAAACACCGGAGACCATGTTGCCGAAGAATCCTGGCTGCTGGTCTGGCCCCTTGACAACCTGCGTTCTGGCTTCCTCGACCAGAAGTCGCTCGTGCGCTCGTGCCAGAACATGTTCAATGGCATTCAGCAGAGAGATCAGAGTCGACTCGGGAGCGTTCCATTCATCCTGTTTTGAGCCACCGTTCTCCCTGAAGATGGACTGGAGATCTTGGAATGTGTTGGAAATTTGCCGACAAAGTGTTTCGACGAGGGGAATCAAAACTTGGAAAATCGTGTCGGAGTAGAAAGGGAGGCATTCCGTTAGGAAACTGACCCAACTGTCGAGGACGCTGCGGCTGCTAGGAGAACTCAGTCCAGCCTGAAGGCACTTGAGTAGGTTAGGTGGTGGTGCTGTTGGCTTTGTCTCTGATTGTGTTGACACTCTGATGCTCTTGGAGGGCTCCAGACTCAGCTTCCTCTTCTCAGATGTTGGGGAACCCGGGACATCAGCGATCATCACGTCCCGAAGCTTGAGCGAATCAAATACGACATCCAGAAGAAGAACCTGGACGTATGGATCTGTTCCGCTCAGTGATTGGAGGAGGCGTTCAATGAGGACGTTCTCCAAGTGAAGGCTGGCAAGGGGCTCGGCGTAGGGGTTGAGGAGGATTTGGTGCATAACAGTCAGAGCATAGCGGTGGAGCTGAGTAGATCGTATCTTGAGTTGCTCTTCCGGCTCGTTGTTTCCAGCGATGCATCGCAGGCAAACATGAATGAAGACCTCTTGCATGGAAATCTCGCCCTCATGCCCAGCTGGTCCCGATTAGCACACATCGTCGTGTAGGGCCAGTTTACATACTCATCTGTGAGATGTCTGGGTGCTCTGCATCGACTGTGAGCGAGGTCGACGCCAATACAGCCCAAATCACGTCCGGGGCCCAGCGTAGAACGTTTGACAATGTCCTCAGGTAGTAAAGACAAACATCCAGGTCGTCGTCAGCAGTAAAGGTTGTGGAAGCTGCCGACGCCGCAGGCGAGCCGATGGCATGGCTGGCCCTGAGGAAAGGAAGGGATGCGAATTTTCGAACGAATATTAAGAACAACCTGCTTCCGTATTAGTCTCCTGATTCATACATCTATAGGTATTACTCACTTGTCGGTGCCAACTAAACTGTTCAGCCATCCTTTGACAGTCATGAACAGTTGAGTTCTCTCGTCTAGAAGGGCATCCAGCATCAAAAACAAAGGCCGAGTCAACATTACGTCGTAGTATTCCGATCCAGCCAAGCGAATCTGCGGCGGCTTCTCAATCATTGGTGTTTTTGACCCGCGTCTGTCGGCGTGAGAATCTTGTAGTGAGTGAGACCATAGCACACTAAAGCGACGGCCCGCGTCAGCAGGACGGGACGCAAACGAGCCCTGAACATCATTCTCAATTATGAGACTTGCCAGGGCTGCTTCGATGTCTCGGTTCTGAACAGTTAAAGCAGTCTGAAGCTGCCATAGAGATCTGACTGTTTCGACGTGGTACTTGGGTTCTGAGGCTGACAGAAACTCCCAAGCATGTTGGACCAGCGGAGTGACAAGTTCGGAAAGGTCAGGCAGCTCGATACGCTCGGCGGAGTAGAGATGAGCAGACAAGTAAAGGATGGAGTTGAAAGAGACAAATGACAGCCTGTCGGAGTGTTTGAGACGGTCATGGAGACATTTCATGAGGAAGCTCGCGTCTAGATGGTACGCCGATGGAACCTTCAACAGAAGAGCTGTAAGAATCCTTCCCTTCGCACCCAAGTCTGAATCCGAGTCGGTGCTCTTCAAGCCATCGCAGACGAGCTGACCTGACTTGCGCAGAAGAAGCTCGCCGACTTCGATCGGCGTGAACGGAATATTGGCATCGAGGTTGCCCTGCTCATCAACATAAAACGACTTGATCCTCTTCAAGACTTCGACTGCCGACAGTGACGCCAGGACACCGGCTTCTACAGTCCTCTTGGACTTATCGCCAGCTGCGGGAAAGGCTCGGTCTGGCACGAGATCCAACAGAGCGAGCGAGATGCTAAGCGCCTCTTCGGCGATTTTGCCAGAGCCTTTCGTTGGCGAAACGGTGGACGACTTCTGTCTCTCTCTCGTGTCCTCCAGCATCGAGAAGATGGACAAAGCAGTGAGCGGCGCGTGGATGGTGATCATCTCTTCCTCACGTACATTGAAATTAGCCAAGATGAAGTTCACCAAGTCAAGCTTATCCAGGCGCTCCTTGTCGGACACGTTTCCTGGGCCGATTGCCTGAGCAAGCAGGCTAACGATCTCGCCGTAGATGAGCCCACTTTCGACGCCATCAAAGAATACGCTCGCACTGCGGAAAACTTCGTTGAAGTCGGCTTTGCTTGGTGACTGGCCCCGATATTGTCGGACACTGTTGATGATGGGGAGGAAAAGTTCGGGAACGACGAGTCCACCAATCTCCCAGCGATCCATCAACGATAGGCATATCCTGTAAGGCCGTGCCCTCTCTGCAGGGCTTGATTCTCGATCGACATGAATCATGCTCAGCAGTGCCCGTGTCAACGGGCGAAGACCATGGTCCTCGAAGTAGCTGGTCTTGGACGCAAAATAGGCGTTGTGGGGTTCAGTCGATGAGGGTGACTCCATGCCGCTCTCACTCTCCGTTGGCGCTGGTTCAGGACCCAGAAACCATGCCCACAACCTTCGGTTCAGACTCATATCCCTTCGTATAACGACACCGGCGGCCGCACGCAACAGAAGCTCCAAGTCGCCCGGCTTGACGCTGTTCTGGAGCACCTTCGAGTGCAATGGGAGATGCGTGACCAGCAGGTCCAGAAACCCGCGCTGGATCAGCAACTGCTCATCGGAAAGACCAGCTGCGAAAGAGCGCAAAAGCAGTCCCGGTTCAGGTGAGGTAACCATTTGTGCCAGTTGGGTAGAGTGCTCCTCCTCCGAGATTCCATTCTTGACAGGCTTCCCCTGAGCCAGTGAGTCGCCCAGTTTGGGCAGATTCCTCACAAGGTATGCCAAAGCTCCCGCTCTGCGACTAGAACCTGTGATGGAGGCCAGAAAGAAGCATTGCCAGAAGAAATCATCACCAGTCGAGTGTAGACCCTCCAGTTCCTCGCTCGCTGCCGGCCGTATCGACTTCTTGAAGCTCTCCATCAACCGTAGTGTCCGATCAAAGTCCTCGCTGGTCTCATCTTCCAGACCTGGCAGGAGAGCTAGAACGACGGACTTCATGGCTGGTCGCAGGGATCGAGGATCGAGACTGAGGAAGTGGGTTTCCAGAAGGTCAAGGAAGGGAGTCCTGACGGACAGGGAGGCGAAGGAGAGCGTCGATGCCAGACCAGGGAGGTAGAGCGGCAGATCTTTGGACAGCCCATCTTGTCCTATCGTCGCGAAGATGTAATTGTAGACTTCTAGGGCCTTTTGGTGGACGCCCGATGGCAGGGAGGGGTTGAGGCATTGGGAGAGTCGCTTCGCAACGGTCGATTTCGCAGGGATGGTGGTGGTCGAGGGATGTCGAGCTTGTAATGCCTTTAATATGGTCAGTCTCTCCAGTGTTTTGAGCGCGCGAAGCATCGAACTTACCTTAAGCAGGCGGTTGAGGAAGGAAATGTAGTCTGCCCACTCCTGTAGGGCTGTCTCGAAGAGGGTCAGGGCCCTCTCAACGCCGGATGCGTACTTGCGGTAGTGCTTATCCTTTGACGGAGCCTCCTCTGACGACACAGTTAGCTTCAGCCTCCCAAGACCTTGCATCAGTCCCGTTTGTTTTGAAGCTCCTCACCGGCACCGAGTTGGTTTCTCCATTGGCGCGGCAGGGGGGAGTCCCGCCCTGAGCTCTCCGGGGAGACGGAGCGCCGGCCAGAGCCCGGCTCAAGAGCCATGATTGCGGTCTTTGATGGATCGTTTGGCGGGGTTGAACATCAGGGTATTCTTGTTCATTTGAGACGGCGGTCTCGAGGGCTCATCGCAGCTGGGCCCTTTCACGTCGTCTTGTCGATTCGCCCTGTCATGACTTGAGATCGCAAGGGCCGCGACTGCTGAGCTCGAAAGGCTACCATGTCTCCTTCGCAGGCCAGGTGTACAGTGGGGTACCCCCTGTAAGCTTCCCAAGCTTCCCATTGGACGAACTAAATTAGTTACCGTTCCCGCCTGGCGAGGCTGCCCTGCGACCCTCCTCCCAAGCACCAGGTCACTGCCGACCGCCGAGATAGGACAAACCGCAACGTCATCAGGCCTCCATTCGCTTCAGTTGGTCCCATACCTCTACAGTACGAGCATCCACCCATTGTGCCATCGCATTACCTGCCACAGATACCTTGCGTTCTGTCCCTTTCGTTTGGTTTGGTTCTGTCGTCTGTTTATTGACCCAAATAGCGCATGAGAAGCGTTCAAAATACCAAAACCTTCACGGGTGTCACTGCTCATTGGCTATCTCAGCTCACCTCCTTTCTTATGCGACGATCGGCATCCCTTTCGTCTTGTCCAATCTGGTCGCATCAAGGGAATCCGAGGTCTTGGACGCGCGCGCGCATGCACATGAGGTGACAGACGGTCGCCCCCAGCCAAGGTACCTCTTAAGGCAGACATGGCATTCTTGGGGCCTGATCGATTTCACAATACCGATATGTGTTAGCGCACGTGTTCACCTAATGCATCCAAGCGACTCCCCGCGACTGTCTCGTGAGGTGAACCCGCAGCTGCATCTGTCCTGGCCAGGATGCGCCGGGACAGCTCTCAATGCTTTACCTACATATTTATCTAGGCGATAAGAGGGCTCCATGGCATTTGCTGAATTCCCATCCTGCCAGAGTTGGGCCCCCACGACCGAGCACACCAGCTAGGTACCTAAAACTCAGGTGAGGGGGTGGACCTGAGTCGTTCGTCCTTAGCGGAACGTTCCCACTAATCAGGGCCGCCGCACCGCTAAAGGTCGGCGCCCCTCCTACCAGCGCATCATCAGCTGCCACTTCTCAGACCGCACCTCTCTGCCTTTTCTCGGGCTTTTCTGCCCTCCGCCCAACCACTTCACGGACATACAGACCTAACGACCGTCATGGCACCATGATTTCCTATTCTTGACCTGCGATTTCACGACCGACCTACACACCCGCTGCGCGGCGACGCGCCAACAGTTCTATACAGCATCGAGCGGAAATGCTCCCTAAAGCACCATCATGGGCGACGACAATGGCAACGACAACAGTCCTGGCGAGGAACAGCCTCCCCCTCTGCCCCCGCGCCCCTCCCGCCCCTCCCTCGACTCGAATCACTCGATAGACGCGAGAATGGCAATGGCAGCGGCCACAACTGCCGTCACACCCCTCGACATCCAGACCCTGTCCTTCCCAGATGGCTCGCGCGGCACTTTCTCGACACCAGGCCCGAGGACGTCCGTCGCCTCCTCCAAGAACGGAAGCGGCTCAGCGACTCCCACCACAGGCATGAACGAAATGGAAGATTCGATGAGCATCATGAGCTTCGCCCCGACCATGCGCCCCGCCGGCGACATTGCGAGTCTGCTCGTTGGAGAGTTCAGTAGAAAGAGCCCCGCGTGGAACCTACTAAGGTCACAGTCGGCCACGGTTCAGCCGTTTGAGAGTCTTAGGATGGACGACACCACGCGCAACCTGGCGGGATTTGAGAACGAGTTTGACGAATTGCCCGACGAGGCGGACACGGACTTCAAGGACGAGGACCGCGTGGCGATTTGGAAGTCCAAGTTGAAGCATTACATGATCCTCTCTTCGGCAGGGAAGCCCATCTACAGTCGGCATGGCGATCTGGGGCTCATCAACTCGTCCATGGGTGTCATCCAGACTATTATATCCTTCTACGAGGGTGCTAAGAACCCTTTGCAGGCTTTCACGGCTGGCCAGACGCGCTTTGTTATATCCATCCAGGGCCCCCTATACTTCGTCGCCATCAGCCGTCTCGGTGAAAGCGACTCTCAGCTCAGAGCACAGCTCGAAGCTCTATACATGCAGATCCTCTCAACACTCACCCTCCCCGTTCTCAAGAACATTTTTGTCCATCGCCCGTCAACGGACCTGCGTAAACCGCTCGAGGGCACCGAGCCTCTCATCTCGTCGCTCGCCGACAACTTCACCAAAGGCTCACCTTCCGCTCTCCTCGGGGCTCTAGAATGTCTCAAGCTCCGTAAATCCCAACGCCACGCCATCAACAACGCCTTCCTCAAACAGCGCACAGAAAAGCTCCTGTACGGCCTCATCGTCGCCGGCGGCAAGCTTGTCAGCGTCATCCGCCCTCGACGGCACTCTCTCCACCCCTCCGACCTCCAGCTCATCTTCAACATGCTCTTTGAATCAGGCGGTATCAAAGCCGGCGGTGGCGAGAATTGGGTTCCTCTCTGCCTCCCCGCCTTCAACAACCGCGGCTACCTGTACATGTATGTCTCCTTCTTTGACGGCGTTGAGGGCGACCATACAACAACCACCTCGGAATCCGGCGCGAACAAGGAAGAAGAGCTCGCCATCATCCTCATCAGCCCCGACAAGGAATCCTTTTTCGAGTTAAAACAGATGCGCGACAACGTCGCAGCCTCCCTGGCACAGTCAGGACATCTCGCAACCATCCAGGCCGCAGCACGCCTCGGACGGCCCAAGACGGTCGACATCGCACCTGGCGGCCAAATCTCCCATTTTCTGTACAAATCCCGCGCAAACGTGCAGTTCTCCATGTCCGCCCTCGACCCTGTCTTCTCCTCCCTCATAGCCCGCCGCCGCCTCATGACACTATACCACCAACTCCACGCCGCCGTCCACGCAAAACACTCACATATGCGCGTCCTCCACTCCGTCTCCGAGGATGCCACCTCTCTAGCATGGATCACGCCCATTTTCGAATTCTACTGCGTCGCCGGCCCCAACGTAAGCCGTGCCGTCGTCACCCAGGGCGCGAACAAGGTCATCCAATGGGCCCGTCGCGAGGAGGAACGGATCTTCATTATAGGCGGCGGTGTATTCTGAATACCTGCTCAAATAAAAGAAAGCAAAAGATATCCACCATTTCATCCCTGAAAATCCCAGCCACAGACATTACTTGCGTACGCTATATAAACATTATACCCACGGTGTGACATCCCATGCTCCAACTCCAGCCAAAAGTCCGGCTCACTACAAAACAAACCTATCCCTAAGCACAAATGAAAACTTTGAAGAAGCAAAAAAAAAAGAGGGAAGCTACCCATAACAGACGAAATCTCCAGCCGCCTCACTTCTTCAACCACCCAGCCCTCCACCACGCCTCGGGAAACTTCACCTTGTTCTTCACCACCTCCCACGACTTCTTCTGCCTCAAACAGCAGCCCAAAGCACTGCCCTTGCCCTTGCTCTTCTTGAACAGCAACGCCCGGCCCACCCTCTCCAACGCACTCTTCAACATACACCGCTTCGTATGGCTCGGCGGTGGTGGTGACAATGACGCCGGCCTATCCTCCGCCTCCTCTGCGCCTTTCGTCCGCGTCTCATCTTGGCCCTGCTTCTTCTGCTGCCCCTCACCATAATTCCACTTCTTCTTGCCCTTCCCTCCCACCTCCAGGACCGAGCCCTGGTCATTAACCGACCCAGCCAGCGTCGTCGCCCCGCTCAACTCGCCGCCCTCGTCGCTCCCCTCAAGCGTGCCCTGGCTCGACCGCAACCGCGAGGTCCTCCGCCTGCCTCTCGGCGATCCCTGCGGCTGCTGCGGTGGCGGTGGTGGAGGTGGTGTCAGGGCCGCTGCTCGTGCCGACGACGGTCCTCCCTCCTCGTCCGAGAATACAAGCGGCGGCAGCCCAGCCCTCGCGCGCTCCTTTTGCACGCGCTCAGCCGCCATGCGACTACTCTCGCCCTTCTCATACCAGGGGAAAGAGTTACGCTGTGAGTCCTCAGCAGCCACGTCCTCGTCTTCCTTTCGAGCTTCGCTCTCAGGGGATTTGTCTCCTCTCCCAGAGCGAGGAGACACTCTTCCAGAGGTCGGCCTAGTCGACTTGTCCCCCGTGAGCGCAGAGCGTCGTCTGGATGGCGGCGACGATGATGGAGATACATTGCCGGCGGCGGTCTCCCCCTCTTCCTCCGATGCACCGCGTCCAGTCTGGTGAGTGCTTCCCGTAAAGGGGTTCTTGAAGGTTATTCCAGGAGCCATTATCCTTTCCAGATCATGAAATGCAACGAATGTAAAATCTTTCATGTGTTTGTTGGTAGTAGTGTGCTGATCAGTGTGTTTGTCGATGTAGTGTAAGTGAAGTTTTCAGGGGAAATGAACGTGATATCTATCACCGTTTTGTTTATACCTATTTGACCCCAACCCTATTCCTGCCCGTGTTCCGATAAGCCTCTCTCTGCCTCTTTCTCTCTCTCTGTGTGTATGTTTGTGTGTGTTCTTCCCTTGATGGCCAGGAGGGTATCCACAGCAACCAAAGGTATAACTGAAGGTAGGTAGAGGTAGGTACGTCACAGAAAAGACAAAAGAAACCCGATGATGTCAATGTGGTTCCTATAGAACCCGGGTGTAAGCGAGTGTGAAAACGAAAGGACGCGATTTACCAATCGCAAGATGATGAGAGTGGTGCTGGACGAAACGAATGTAGCCGCGCGATGACGATTGTGATGACGGTAGAAACTCGAGAGAGGACCCGGTAAGAAGGGGACTCGATGGGAATCTTAGCCTTTAAAGGCACATTCCCATCCGGACCATTTCCTCCTTGTTCTCGACGATGCTGTCCTAAAAGATAGACCCTGTGGGAAGTAAATCTCGAGGCTGCACAAGCCATGGCGTCATCTGCCCTCACCGGGAGAGCCCACAGGTATACCTCATGTCCCGGTAAGTATTTTCCCCATGGAAAGTCCTATCTGAAGCGTATGTCTTGTTGTATTCACTACATAATCTGCCAGGTGTCGTCCCTGAACTTCCCCAGACCCAAACCCACACCTCTTGTGCCTAACGCCCTCGATCCGGAGCTCCAGCCATAGCCAGACTCGATCGCCAACAATCAGGCCTCACAAATTACACCCCCTTCCTCTCAATGCATCATCAAGTCTCTTTTCAAGAAGCCCAAGTTCTTGAAAGCCAATCAAAAGAACGCACCCAACAGTGGTAAAGATGACGGCACAAAATTCTGCTGGCTCGCTTCTCGTCTGCCACTGCGTAAGTGATATTGGTCCTCACCGCCTCCTGATGACAATGTGGACAGCTCGTCTGAACCACCCTTTCATCCTTTTGCCCACTTTCTTGGACTGGCCAGGTGCTGATACACCCCGTTGAACTTGCAATCGAATGGTGGCGTCAGAATCCGTTGAACCAATGTTCCTTCCCCTCAGGTTGAGACGTGATCTGGCCATGCGAATCTTCAGGTGGGAAAGCTTCTTGCGGATAATTTTTGGGCGAATGAAACTCAAGTCGGAGCTGAAGCTGCGTGTGTCGCTCAAATCGTAACCCTCGATAGAGCTGCTTGGCCTCAGATTCTCGTCAACCGGGTGAGCCAGAGGTATGTAACGCTCATGTAAGTATCCATCACTAGAGTTAGTATCTGCAGGAGAGTAAGGCGGACGGTTTACTCTCCTGGCGCCTCGCCCGTTGGGCGTCACGAGGCGAAACTGTCTTCCCTTACGCTGGTATACTCGGCCATCCCGAGGTTTTCTGTCTTGCACCTGGGCCTGGGTGCCTTCCGACGGGTCTTCCACCAAGTCGCTGAGAGGTCTGTCTTTGGAGAAGCTCAGGTAACGTCTGACAGTGCCGCTTGGATTCTCTTCCAATTCCATGCCCAGCGGATCACGCGATGTCCTTAGTCGAATACTTTGGGTCGGTCCTCGCGGTTCGGCTGCGCACCCGACATCCACTGAATTTTGCTCATAAGGTGTACAAGAAACAGGCACATCTTCGATGATGTTCACCTCGCTCGAGACTGATTTCCGATCTGTAGATCGGTCCAAAGAATCTGTCTCGATCTCGATGCTCGCCCTGTAAGACTCATGATCCTCGACGGTTGACTTGAGAGTAATCCTAGGACTTGATCGAGGAGTCGCGAGGATTTCAAGCTTGAAAGGGGAGAACTCAACCGGAAAGCGTAGGTCGTCTGTAGACCTGATAGACGCATGTGGTGACATGTAGGGCGACTCGTTGGGGATAGAAGGCAACGCCTTCATGAGCTGGGGGATGCTGTTTCTGACTCTGAGCTCGCGAGCTGGAGAAATGGGTTCGGGGCAGATGATGGTTGCATTCGCACTTTGGGTTGATGTGGGCGTCTCGGATCGAAGGCTGTTTGTGCTAATGCACGCAACCGCTTGGTTCCTCCGATGACCTCTGAAAAAGGGCTTTGAAGCCACAGCCTTGCTGTTGGCGTCAACTTGGTCAGTATTCTGACGAGTTGCACTAATGAGTTCTTCCGCATTCGCCTTGGATTCATCAGAATACTTTGAATCGCCGTAGTTGGCATCGTCAGTCATTCCAGAGCACCCCTTTTCCTTCCTCAGGAAAGGGGACTTGGCAATGCGCTCAAAAGATGAAACCAGTGCCGCCAAGTCAGAAAGCCCAGGGTCAATAGAGTTTCGAACACTCGATCGGAGCAACGCCGCGAGCCCACCTTGCGACGAGGATTGTCGCGATGTCGACATGACAGCTGTTGGAGCACTTGGAGACTTACGTAGCTTGCCTTGACCTGAAGATCTTTTGGCGACCTCGTCCTGGGGAGGAATACTGTCGAAGCAACCTCTTGTTAGAACATCCGCACGTGTCTGGTCCCGTTCGTTCCCAGTGATGATGCTGTGTTCTTGGGCATCATCCTTGAGTCCACGCCTTGCTGAATTGCGCGCATGCTCGCTTTGGCTAGCATCCGAATCATCTGCGAAAAGGGACATCATGTTGAAATACCCTTTTCCACCGTCAGCGTCGTTCGGATGGGGAACTGAACTACCATCCTTTTCGAAAGAAAAAGGAGCCAGGGAGGGAGAAATGTCCCTCGAGTCAGCATGGCCTTGGGCTGCACCTCGACCGTCGTCTCCAGACGAATCGCTCGAATCCTTCACGGATATGTCCACCACGGCGTCAAGACGGGCCTTGGTCTCGTCGCGGAGTACCAAAGCTTTGACAAGACTTGAAGCACGCTTTGGTATGGGTGCCAACGGAGTGTTGGTCTCGTTAGTAGGAGCAGCATCAGTCGTTTCTGGAGTCTCAAACCCTTCAGTGTAGTCATAGTAAAATGAGCCTGCCGGACGGAGTGTGCGAATGGGAGCCGACGCTGAGTTTGGCGTCTGCTTGCAGTACATATCGATAACTGACGTCAGGCTCGATGACCGCAAGCTTTGGTCTGTGGAGTTTTGCCGCCGGATGGTACCTGATCGTTCACCACTCCATTGGCTGCTCAAGAGTGCCCTATGACTTTGACTGCGGCCATCTCGACTGAGCGGTGCCATTTTAGAGTTGCCATACGGCAAAGACGGCATCGACTGATTTGTATCGGAGCGCAACGAAAGAGGAGGTGCAAGACGCGTTCTAGGGTAAGTTGGCATGTACGATCCGTGGACAGTCCTCTGAAGTTGGTCAACACGACTGGTGACACCAGTGCTGTCGTTCAAACTTACAAACGAAATTCGATCAAGTTCGACCATCCTACTGTAGTCGACGCGCCCGTTCTCGGTTACAGCAGGCGAAGACGGCCTCACGCCAGGGCGCTTCAATCTCGTGGGGTAGGGGAAAGGAGAACGTGGACGTTGCAGGTTGCCGCTGCCCAGTGGACTTTGCAAAGTCCGTGACGATACTTTTCGTGACAACTGTCGAGGAGCCGTTGCAGTAAGAGAGTACGAGCGCCGAAATTGGTTAACTCTGGGAGACCGTAGGCTGAGACCAGATGATGGATTGCTCTCGGAACCATACATGGAGATGATCTCTGAGTTGGTATCTCGATCAGAACCGTACCTCCTACGGCTGATCTTACTCTCGGTCCTGATGCTGCTGCGCGACTCTGACCTGAAGATGGAGCTAGCGTCAATGCTTGGTCTAGACCTGGCGCAGTGATGGATGGTGGCTGCGGGAGCAATTGGTTTGATGGTGAATATGCCGATGTCTCCCGTCTCGGTGGTGGTCTTGAGCATGCTTTCGAGGGGACCTGGGGATGGCAGTAGGCCTGCGCTCTCGGTGACACTTCTCAGAGGTCGATGAGGCAGCGAGTGGCCGGCGGGAGGCCGAGAACGAGACCGGTAACTGCTGCGCAGCGAGCCATGGCTGGCGGAGCGTTGGACGTAGTTCCCTTCCATCGGGGTTGGAATTGGTATTAGATCGAACAGAAACAGATGGCAATATGGGTATGATTGATGGGCAACAGAGGGGGATGAAGCAGGGCGGAGACACCGCAACGGTCGATATGAAGCTATTTCGAACGTCGTCGGATTGTCATGACATCCCCAAGTGTTGCGGATGTTGTTGGGAAAAGCAGTTTGATATTTGCCAATGTCTACGGAGATTAATGTCCGGCACTCATCAGCTGAAGCCGTCGGTGGGAAGAACGGTCGACTATCAGCAGCTTCCTACTACTTGCTATATTTGAACGTGCTTTCCCGCAACGTCTGACAAGAAGGAGGCACATTTGCTCATGTTTGGAAAGCACCGAGCTTCATGCCTTCCGTCATTCTTGCGAGTCTGCTCTCCTAGGCAAGCCCTGTCTGCCACGTGCCCAGCTCTTTCCATCACACCAAAAAAGCTCTCTTCAAGAGTGGCAGTCACCCTGTTGACATCTGCAAACGAGAAGGCAGGCGTGGCTCGTGGTGCAGCTGCCGGAGAGTGCAGTGGCTATCCAGAAGGTCATAAAGCAATGTGTTTACCTGATTATACACTTTTCAACGATATTCGCTGCACTGAAGGAGCACCAAACATGGCAGCATCAGGAGAGACGTCCATGAGGTAGAGTATCGCAAGATTTCAGACGATGGTGTTGTGGCCTCATCTCAGATGGGACGGCGTACAGCGGTACAACTGGGCAGCAAAAGAGAGGCGGGCTGCCTGATTGGATGGATACCGTAGGCAATTGCCTACTCTGGCCAGAACTAAGTTGCTGTCAGCGTCGCTGCATGGGATGCGGATCTGCCCGCCAAGATAGTTGCAGCTTAGAGACAACTGTCCTTTCGCAACTTAGTCTGACAAACGACTCAGTGACACTATTTGGAACCACAAGGGCAATTTCGGGAGATTGAATGTGATACCAGCAACGTCTAGATGTGACAGGCATGCTCTGTGCAGATGATATACATAGCACAGGATCCGAGACGGAAGTTGAAAGCTTCCAGACCCCACAGGTAATCGGATTCTTCGGGTCGGAGGGAACAAACTTTAGAGGGTTTGGGGCGATACGGAGCACCTCAGCCGCTGTGCCGTTCTGGTTACCGCGTAAGGCCACAAACGGGGTGAGGACACAGTTCCACTTTGCAGGCAGCTAGCAACAAGCACCCAGCGTTGGTTCCTGAATATGATCTTTTGGCTGCTATTGATGGGGCCGAGATGACAAAAGAGCCAGCCCTTTGTCTGTTTGGCGCAAGACCACCTTGAACTCCGCATTGGGCGTATGTGTGATCAGTGATCGCGGAGGGGAGGGTGCCTTGCATCGGTCCGCAGCTAATCTTGGAATAATATTCCGTACAGCACCACTCGACCACACACCTGCCCAAGGAACGGGCGGTTCGCGCAGCTCCGGCGATGGCAAAAGTCCACAAGTGAGATTGCAGAATGCAGAACATTACCTTACATGCGGGCATCGCGAACGCGAACGAGGCAAGGCCGGTCGGTGACTTTCCCTCTGTCGCGGGACCCTTGCCCCATCATGAGGTGAGTGAGGCTGGGAGGTTTTACCACGGTATCCAGTACAGGGTCGCGCAGCCCGTTGGGTGGCTGGAGCTTTGCAAAGTGCATGCAGCAGGCAGTTTGACAGTAGCCTGGAGCTGGACGTCGACGAGGGCCACCTCCACCTCTTGTGCCAGGGTCCCATCGGACAGTGAGCGAAGCGCCAAAAAAGATGCTACCGACAGAGACCAGATCTGGTTAGTGATCAGCCTCCACGGTAGCATTGCCGCTGGATCGCGAGCCGGCAGGGCAGCTTGGCGGGTGGTGGGGACAGGATCCTAAGGCGAGAGAATGGGTCCATGGGTGCACCTTGTGGTGGCAGGATGGAACCGTGAAGGAAGCACGGAGCGGCGACCGCAGACCTTTGCAGCCGGTGAGAACATGGAACTGTGTCCTCACCTCAGGAAGCGAAAACCTTACCCCCAAGAGTCTCTGGGCAGGTCAGCCATTGTTGGCCACATCTGGATATGGATGACCAATTCAGTTACCACCAGGCGCGGAACGCGAAAAGGCGCAGACAGAGGAGAAAGCATGAGACCAATTATTGATATCAGAATGGCCGCCACCCACCGTTGACAAAGCACGCGCGCGTTGGACCACGGTTGGCCTGGGCTGGGGGCAGAAAGACATGGAAAAGATGGGACGGGCTGAGGGGAAGCTGTGCCATCCAACGATGATTGTCTCAGAGGACCGCCCAGACGCAAGTCGGAATGTGCAGAATAGGGGTGCAACTACCAACAGTCAATGGCATGGCATGGCAATCGCAATGGCCGCCCGCATAGTACAGGTTCGAGCGTTTGCCTCTGGGTCAAGCAAGCAATCATTTTGACTCGACTTGAATATGATTGGCAATCAATTTGAACTTGGACTTCTCCCCACCGACACCTCGTAAGGCAGACGGACCGGAGACAGACAAGGCGAGCAAGGGACAGGCACGGAAGACTGAAAATAATATGCCGAGCTTACGGATACCCGACCTGGTTCAGCAACGGCCGTGGTCTTCACAGCCCAGGCCAGGCACTCGCCTCCAACGCAGCTACCTTAGGCAGGTGTCTAGCCGTAGCCTATTTGAAGCATTGGGTTGGATATTTCCTTCCTCACCTTGCCGTGTACGTTACGCCTGGGTCAGAGTGGTTGGTTGATTATCAATTCACCGTAAGTTGCTTCCAGGCCGCCGAACGGTGGGGGAGTACCTGCCTTACCTGAACGGCGTGCAGAAAGAGGAAGGGAGTGGAGGGGTGAGTGGCCGATTTGCCCCTCACGACGGAGGGAGAAGCACCACAGAGCACGGGCTGCCTGTGGATTGGGGTAAGTAGCTGCCCGCCCCCAATTTGTATCTCAACGCAAAAATGACTCGTGTCGGTACTTCCGGATACATGCGCCCACCGCTAGAGGGGTGTTAAGTCAAGGTGTCCCCCAATCCGCTAACCCACACAGACAACCGCCGCCGCCTTAGTGAACGCATGAGCTGACGGCGGTTCCTGGAAAAAGGGACACCTGTTCTCAATTGCCCTTTGGAAATCCATGGTCCGAAATCTTGACCAGAAAACCTCCAGCTGGCTCTTCCCTCTACTTCCTACTTAAGACAGAACCTCTTCCCATTCACACCCTTCTGGAGCCCGACTTGTCCGCCTCCCTCTCAAGCGTGAATTTTTCCTTCCTCACTGTTCATTTTCTTCAGGTCAAGAAAGGTAAGCAGCTCTCCCAATCCCATCTCACTCTCCATATCGAGCTCGACGTTTGAAGCTCCCACCACCTCCACCTTCACCAAACGGTCGCAAAGGACAGCTATCGTGAAAGCTGCCGCCGACCGCCTTCTCCCTCCCGCCACGCCCCGCAAAAATCTTCACCAGCGACATTTTGAGCTTCGTCGTTTCACTTTACGGAATACTGACAATTCCTGCTTCAGGGTCAAAATGTTCTGCAAGCGTGTTGCCTTCGGCCTCTTGGCCGCCGCCGCCGCGGTTTCCGCCAGCGATGTCACTCAGTTGAAGAAGGACGACTTCAACGACTTCATCAAGACCAACGACCTGGTTCTTGCTGAGTGTGAGTAGCCCGCGATCCAAAATGCTTGCGATCCAGCATGAACTGACTCTCGTCTTCCAGTCTTCGCTCCCTGGTGCGGTCACTGCAAGGCCCTCGCCCCCGAGTACGAGGAGGCTGCCACCTCCCTCAAGGAGAAGAACATCAAGCTCGTCAAGGTTGACTGCACTGAGGAGGCCGACCTCTGCCAGGAGTACGGCGTTGAGGGCTACCCCACCCTCAAGGTCTTCCGTGGCCCTGAGAGCATCTCTCCCTACTCCGGCCAGCGCAAGGCTGCTGCCATCACCTCCTACATGGTCAAGCAGTCCCTGCCTGCCGTCTCCATCCTGACCAAGGACACCCTCGAGGAGTTCAAGACCGCCGACAAGGTTGTCCTCGTCGCCTACATCGACGCCTCCGACAAGGCCTCCAACGAGACCTTCACCAAGGTCGCTGAGAAGCACCGTGACACCTACCTCTTCGGTGGCGTCAACGACGCTGCTGTTGCCGAGGCTGAGGGCGTCAAGGCCCCTGCTATCGTCCTCTACAAATCTTTCGACGAGGGCAAGGCCACCTTCACTGAGAAGTTCGACGCCGAGGCCATTGAGAGCTTCGCCCAGACCGCCGCCACTCCCCTCATCGGCGAGGTCGGCCCCGAGACCTACTCCGGCTACATGTCCGCCGGCATTCCCCTGGCCTACATCTTCGCCGAGACCCCCGAGGAGCGTGAGGAGCTTGGTAAGGAGCTGAAGCCCATCGCCGAGAAGTACCGCGGCAAGATCAACTTCGCCACCATTGACGCCAAGGCTTTCGGTGCCCATGCCGGCAACCTGAACCTCAAGACCGACAAGTTCCCCTCTTTCGCCATCCAGGAGACCGTCAAGAACCAGAAGTTCCCCTTCGACCAGGACAAGAAGATCACCCACGACGACATCGCCAAGTTCGTCGAGGAGTTCTCCAGCGGCAAGGTCGAGCCCAGCATCAAGTCTGAGCCCGTCCCCGAGTCCCAGGACGGCCCCGTCACCATTGTTGTCGCCAAGAACTACGAGGACGTTGTCCTTGATGACAAGAAGGATGTCCTGATCGAGTTCTACGCCCCCTGGTGCGGTCACTGCAAGGCTCTGGCCCCCAAGTACGACCAGCTTGGTGAGCTCTACGCCAAGTCTGAGTACAAGGACAAGGTTGTCATCGCCAAGGTTGACGCTACCGCCAACGACGTCCCTGATGAGATCCAGGGCTTCCCCACCATCAAGCTCTACCCCGCCGGTGCCAAGAAGGACGCCGTCACCTACTCTGGCTCCCGCTCTGTTGAGGACCTCATTGAGTTCATCAAGGAGAACGGCAAGTACAAGGCCGAGGTCTCCGTCAAGGAGGAGGGTGCCGAGGAGAGCCAGGCCGCCCCTGCCGCCACTGAGTCTGAGAAGGCCGAGAAGGCTAAGGAGACCAAGGAGGCTAAGGAGGACGGTCACGACGAGTTGTAAAAGGTTTTTCTGGGTTCACAATGAAATGAAACTTTGGGACATCCCTCGGGTTGGGATTTATATACCTCTTGCGCGTTACGCCCTCCACTTTGCATTACGGTTTGCGGGTAAATTGATGTTCAGTTACGAAGAAAAAGTTTTTTAAATGCTGTGATTGATGTTGACGCCATGCTGTGATTGCTTCTGTGTGTGACAAGATGCTGTCTCCTTTCTCCCACCCTACCAGAGTCTACATATATGGATTCTTTGTATTTTCATTTACCCTTGGTTGATCAAGAACTGTTCGCGCACAGATGTGTTAACCTCATTTGCAAAGCTCAAGGCGCCCAAACGAAGTTGTCCGCACCAAGCGGATGTTGCTTTAGCTTACATGTATGTTGCCTTGAGTGCAGTTTGAGTATTTCCTGCCCTGGAAGACATGGCGTCCTGCTTTGACAAGGTTTTTGGCAGCTACATCCTTTCAAGCAGTTAGATGACTTGGTGTGAATAAGCGCGGGATAGACTACGCAGGCCAGGGGCGGACGACAAATGAGCATATACTGAACATCACTCTCCTGATAATTCTGCTTGCTCAGGTGGGTGTCTGGCTTTTGCTTCGTCTTGACGCGACCCAAGAATGCCCCCGATGATGCATTTGTTCCGGTGTTGGGAGATGGCAGGACGGATGGTGGCTTTTATCGATGGTGTTTCGCATCAGTGTTGGCCTCGGAAACTATTTAAAAGGTGAGGAAGTAGTCATTTCTATTCAAAAACATAATGCCAGATATCTGATCCATTGTTGAGCAGGTCACATATCCACAGTGCTAAGCTGGCTCACAGAAAGTGTGGAAATGGAAGTTACTCATCAGCGTCAATCAGACCACCGCCCATTTCCTCTCCTGTTGTTTATGGATTATACGAATGGCATAATCACAGCATGGATTCTGATGATGGCAAGTTTGCCCGTCAGTAGGACGAAGGGATTGAATTTGAGAGTTGGGGAAGATGAGATAAATATCAGTAAGACGAAGAAATAGAAGAGGTCATGATCTGCGGTTCACAGGAAGTATACGAGGTGGTAAGCGCTCAGTGTAGGTTGTCAGGCGTTTGGCTCGCTTGGATGCAAGCAGATTAACTGAAAGAATGTTTTCTTGGCGTTGAAAGATTTGAGAAGGGTGGTTTTCATCCGGGATGGCTTGCGTCAATCAATTTGGCGCTCAAAGACTATATAGAGGGAGATCAAGCTGAGAGCTACCAAATTTCAATCTTTGTGAGCCAATGCGCATGCTCGCTGTCCATGCTTTTTTCTTTTCATTAAGAGGGTCGCCTTGTTTTGCTTCGTAGAGTTCCCAGCCGCGGCAACCAGGTCCACAACGTCGTCGGCCGTTCTCCTCTGTTGTGGTTGTTAAATTATACGGATGGAATAGCCCTTGCTGAAGCTTGCAAGATGGGGGATTGCCTTGAGATCTGGTCACAGCTTGTAATCAGAGTCTGAGATAAGGACTATGCTACTTTCAAGCCCATATTCAAAGGACGATTGCATTCGTTGTCATTGATGAGAAGCATACTGGGATGGAGGTATTTTATACAGGCATGACGGGGATTATTGAAGCCAACATGCCTAAAACGTAACACCAGTCAAGCAACGCCGTTTCGGCATTCATATTTCGACAATTCGTGTAGTATTATGCATGTCACACTTTCTCGGTCACAAAAGCTTTGGAAAAGCAAGGGTGAATACTCCATTTAGCATCGCATGATGGTATTTGCGAGGGGCATTGGACTGATCTTATTCCTGGGTGGCAGGAGTGATGATATCCAGTCACAGGGTCATGTTCTCGGACTAACTTATATTTTGTTGACAAATCATTTGCGAAGAAGCGGTTCACGGCCAGCATTTGTCAACACAATATAACTTAGTCCGAGAACTTGACCCTGAGGCTTGGCTGTTGCCGTCAGCCCTAAACGGCTGGCCCATGTTTGTCTCATGCATACGTAGCCATTTGTCCTTCTGGCCTGCCTAATCCTGACTTCAGACATGCTTATCAGGACGAATGGCTTCTGGCCTATTCCCAAACCCTTCACTACCTCTTCCTACAGACAAGACTCGCGGTGAACTGGCGTCAGCCCATCACTCCACCCAGAACACGCGACTCGCAAAAGTCCGAAGTCCTGCAGATATCGCCCCGCAATGGAGACAACCTCAGAACCAACAGCCAAGGGCAGAAAACCCCTCAATGGGGTCTGGCAAGCTTTCCTGCGTACGGTTGAAGAATCCAGGTGTTTTCTCATTTGTTGGGCAACGAGCTGGATCCTCTTCAAGGCACCACTTTGGTAAAGCGCTGACGGCTCGTCTGACTGTACCCACGATGATGGGTCAGGTACGGTACACTTGTCAAAAGTCCCCAACGTTCATTGGCAAGATCGGATATCGAAGCTGCATGAGTTCAGATATATTTGAGTGGCCTTCATGTTAGGAGATATTGTATCTCACCAAGTTCTTCGTCCGTTTCACAAACCGCCATTCTCTAACCTTCTACCCAATTCAAGCCACTTGATCAAGACTTGTTCAGCCCTGACTTGAGCAATGTCTTCCAAGCCAGTCATAGTACTCACGCCGGGAGCATGGCACTCCCCCGAGTCCTTTGAAGTCTTCCAGACCGAACTCCACCAGAGGGGGTGGGAGACTAGGACCACAACGAACGTTTCCGTCGGCGCCGAGCCTCCCACAAAGGGCATGTTCGACGACGCGGCTTCCGCTCACGCTGTTATTGAGGAGCTGGCAGACCAGGGGAGGCAGGTCGTCGTAGTGGCACACTCATACGGCGGTATCGTGGGCGCCCAGGCTGTCAAGGGCCTCGGGTACAAGCAGCGTGCCGCGGAGGGCAAGGCCGGTGGCGTCATCGTATTCGTGTACGTTGCCGCCTTCGTGGCGCCGACTGGAACCGGTGTATGGGATCTGACAAGGAACGAGACTCAGCCATGGATGAGAATCGAGGTGAGTTGCTGTACCCTCTCTAATAGGGGCAAACGTATTCGTCATCCTAAACACCAAAAACCGCAGGACGGCAAGATCTTCGTGAACAACCCCGAGCAAGTCTTCTACCAAGACGTCTCGCCCGAGATCACCTCAAAGTGCGTCGGCATGCTCAAGCACCAGACCGTCAAGGCGTTCGAGGAGCGCGTGACCTATGAGCCGTGGCACGACATTCCCTGCGCGTACATCGCATGCGAGGACGACCACGCGATCCCGTTCTTCGCGCAGGAGATGATGTCGCAGGCGCTGGGTCCGGACGCGCTGAAGGTCACGTTCAAGGAGACGTCGCATTCGCCGTTCTTGTCGAGGACCGCGGAGACGGCGGAGTTTGTTGAGAGGGCGGCGAGGAAGGGAGTGGAGGCTGTTGCGGCATGAGGAGAGGTAACGCGAAGTTCGAAGCTTTCAAAATCACTTGTTGCTATGTCCATCTGATGTCAAGGTCAACAGAGGGCTTGCATACGAGGATAAGGGCATGCGGCCGTCGACTTGTTCATTGTCTCGCATAGGGAAGCTCTTAAGCAAAATACCATGCATTCAATTTTGTAGAAGGTGAAAGAGACGCCGTTCTCAATGCTGTGGTGTTCGTGGTATCATCGCGGATTTGGCCAGAACTGATAGACACAGTCCACTCTGGTGATGGATCGATCAAGATATGCGTAATTGGAAGAATACTCATTTCTAATGAAAACAGAATGCATCTACATGCATGTTGAGAAGTCTCCTTTTAGTCCAAGGACCCGGAATTATTATATGTTGGCACACATGGTCTACTGTGATTATCGCGACCAAACCGGCTCGGGGGCCGGAACTTGCGGACCCCCGGGACCCGGGGCCCGCACGGCCTGAGTCACCGGCGTTTCACTGCCACACCACACAAACACTGCGGTGGTCATAGAGAAGGGACGGAACGGGGGGAGGATTTCTTGTGAGGGTCTTCGGTAACATTCAATCAGCAAAATTGACCATTCATTTGCCCTGGCTCGACCGCGCCCGTCAACCCCCGGAGACCGGAATCAACCTTTGTCTCCATGCAGCCAGCTTCGCTATCTGATTATGGAGACTGAAGACGGATGCGAACCCGTGGGGGTGACGTCGAACTCTACACCAACTACGTTCCAACGATCTGTTAGTGGCTCTCCATCGATGCAGGAGACGTCTGCGTTGCTCGTCCCGGCTAACTCACTAGCAGTGCGATACTTGCCGGAGTCGTAAGGTATGCTGATGTCCTTTCGTGGAACATTTTTGAATTGAGTGTCACGTTCCACCAACATCTGAACCGGTCATTACCTGTTCATGATAGGCTAATATTTTGTCATAGATTCGTTGCGATAGAGAGCAGCCCTGTAGCCACTGTTCCAGCAGTAATACCCCATGTACCTATACCGACAAGCTGAAGCCGCGTGAAAAGAAAACCCGGATTCTCTTGACTTCACAATAGTAAGATTCTCCCAGGCTTGCTCACAAACTCGTAAGCGTGCTGACGCAGTCGTTGTCACTCTCTCTAGCGAGAAGAAGATTGACCAAATTGACCGTCGACTAGAACAAGTCGTGGGTCTGCTACAGACACTCCCACTCAATGCGGAGCAGACTGCTCACGCATCCCTTTCATCTACAGGTGGTAGCCCGGGAACTCTTCCAGCCGACGCTGGACTTGAAGCCTCGTCGGTGATGGAGGGAGAGTCATCATTAGCTGCTCAGTTTACCTTCGCAGACGACTTTATGCAGAAGGTCGCTCGCGGAGAATCCCCATCGTGTACGAATCCTGGTGGAGAGTTGCAAGAGAATCTCAAAGTGCTCTCTCAGATTGTCTCTTCGTATAAACAACATGCTGTCACAGACGAATCAGTGTATCCTCATGCCAGGCTTGTTCACCGGCCAAGCTTCCACGGGTGTGAGCTCCCGCCTATTCAAGAGACTGTTGCGGTGATTCGTGTTGCTGAATGTGAGTGTTCTCCTCCAAGACGTCTCACAAAGTCCGATGTCAGGCAAGGCTCACACGGGATCGAATAGCTCAACGCCTTGCCGGGACTGGCTGGATATACGAGTATCTTCCCATGCAACAGTTTTCAAAAACATGTCTAGAGGTCTACTTTTCGGAGCAGTACACTGAAACAGACTTCATCATCGTCACCGCCGGGCTTCATTCCATCTTTAAAGACTACAGCAATATTGTTTCCGGAGAAGAGAAGGAGAGATGCCTCAAGCATGCTAACCTATGTCGCGCGCATCTCGAGACTGCACTCTCTGGTCTGCCACTGCACCTTCCTGCAACATCGAAAACAATTATTGCTCTTGTCTTCGGGGTAAGCAGTTTCAGCGCAGACAGGAACGTGTTTGACTAACCGCTTCGTAGGCTACCCACTCGATTGAGCTCTCGAAACCCTTCTTGGCTTGGTCTCTGTCTTCCAAGGCGTCAGAGCTGTGCCAATCGCTCGGCTATCATCGAGCTGCATCGGTCGATAACGGAAATGAAGAAGATGTACGGTTAAAAAAGCTCCTATTTTGGAGCACCTACTTCATTGACAAAAGCTTGTCGCTTCGTCTTGGCCGCGCCTCGACGATTCCAGAGTGGACTATTACGACAAGCAGACCATCTGTTACTGATTTCCATCAGCAGCCTGCCATGGCTTACTTTGTGTTATGGGTAGAGACAGCGCGTTGCCAAGGGAACATATACGAGATGCTTTACGGCCCGGATTCCGTCATTCAGCCTGATGATGTGCGGCAAGCTCGGGTTCAGCGCCTTGTATCCGACCTGGGAGAACTGGAGAAAGCAACCCAGGAAACCAATGTAAGTCGAAATCCAAAATCATTCAGGTGCCTTGCGGCTGATTTCTACCGCAGAGAAAATGGATACAAGAATCAAAAACTAAGGCCGGAGAAGATCTGATCGACTTTTACGCCGCATCAGATGAGACGTTGCGTCTGTCTCTGCTCACCATGGTCCATCGAGCCGCGCCACGGCCTCCAGGTTCAACTCCAACCTTTAGTCTCGACTGTGTTGTTGCTGCGCGATCTTCTCTAGAAAAGCATAGGCAATGTGTCGGCATCATCAAGAAAAGCGGTAATACTTATTTCCCGGCATATTTCCAGTGGTATGTAATATTTATCTCTTCACGTGCTTATTTATCCACGTGTTGCCTAGAAGCGGGAAAAGTACTGAGTAGCACAGGTCCCTTTTATTCGCCCCGTTCGTGCCGTATATTGTCATGTTTTGCCACGTCATTGAGACGCAAGACCAAACGGACCTTGACCGCCTCGGGGACTTTTCCTGCTCTATCCAAAATGCCGCCCAAGTTTCCGAGGCTGCGTTTAAGGCTTTCCACCTGTTTCACACTCTTCACGGCATTGCCGTTCGCTATCTGGAACTCTGCGCCGCACATCCTCAGAATGGCCAAAGAAAGGCTGGTCCCGAGATGGATTGGTTCCTGGAGGCTTTGGGCATCGCGCCGCCTGGGCAGGAGAATGATGGCCAACGTTATCTGGCTAGCGACGCGCCTTGGTTTGGTACCGACTTGATTGATAGTATGGAAGCAGACGGAGCAAGAGATAACGATACAACACAACGTAGAACTTCTACAACACAGCCTTTGTTCCGTGTTGGCAACGAAGTTGAGCTGGAGTCTTGGTTCCAGAATAACGAGGCCGGGATGGACTTCCTCCGAGATACAGATATAGGTTTTGGGAGCAATACTTAGATAACTGATATGGGAAAGTTTTCACCGAATGATGGAAGACATATCAATTCTCATGAATCAAGATAGCCGTTGGCACATTACTGCTAGTGTAAAAGCAACGTCTCAGAAATGGTCGCAGCATCCTCTACGAAGAGGCCACCCCAAAACGCGCCAGTGTGTATTGCAATGAATGCAGCACTAGCAATGGGAAAAGGGACCTATCATCTCGTGAGTATGTCTATGCTTTGAGGCAGGTCCTACGTTGAGATGATAATCTCGTGGTTGTTTCATAACTGCAACAACGGCTTCCGAGCATAGTGAGCACGAAATGTCCCTCATCGGCGCTGGACTCCCGGGTGCTGCTATAATCGGCGATAACACAAGTATTGAGAAGAATTAATATTCGGATTATCAGGATACTGCTGGAATACAAGAAAGGTAATATAATCTGCCTAATAGTACGATGATCCCCCCCCTCTCCATACCTTTCTTATTGTCAGAGAAAGGAATCAATTGCCGCGAACACCAAAGGGTGTGAGTATCCCGGCTCGGGCACAGAACTTATGAAAGCTCGAGCTTCAAAGGAGACCATCCTGATATTTCAGACATCCCAAGCTTATAACCTCCAGGACAGAGTCGCTGGAAAGTCTTCTCAGCATCATACTTGTCAGACACAGATCTCAGTCTCTCGAAGTTATCCTCCCCGTAGCTCTTCATGACATCGACATTTTCCGCGGCGTTGTTGAGCCACTGATTCGGCATCAGAGCATTCCGCTTGCGGGCGAGCTCTGTGATCTTGGCCACAAAGGCATCGTCCATCTGGATAGCTGCCGCATCGTCGGCGGAGTTGGCCCAGTTAGTCCTCAGGTTGATAGCTGGCTTCTGGTCAGCACATGCTTCATAAGACTCTACTTCGGAAGACCACGCTGGTGAAAGAATGTACTGACAGTTCTGGTTAATCTCTTGCCAACCGGCCGGGTTACCTCCTTTCCTGTTCGTTTCGCGCACAGTATGGGGTGTGACGGGGTTCCATGACAGACCGATGGTGTGCTCCTCGAGGGCGGAGGACCCATAGTGGGTGAACAGCAATGTGGAGATCTCCTTGTACAATTCCTTGTCGGCCTTGACATTTACGTTTGCACGGTTGATGCTGTGAGAGAGTGACTGGTCAGCCGATGTTGCACGCAAACATTCTAACCCGTTTGCTTACCGTTTCGTGTAGACGCTCAGGAACTCTGGCGTCACATCCTGAGTGGCCAACGTAGTGAGAGTCTTCCGGGACATGTTGGTTGAGATCGGCTCAGCATCCAGGAGAGGCTTGATGGCAGCCGGGTAGGATCCAGTGAAGTTGGTCTTGTCCGTGGACGTGGCCAGGTCGATTGTGGTGAGGCCGATCGCAGGTATGATCATCTCCAGACAGGTAACCGTAAGGTGCGGATCATCGAGGAGGGGGCCAGTCTGCATGTCGTAAAAGGATTCGAGGGCGGCATCCGCTTGGCTCTGGTTGTAGGACAGAGTGCCGGACCAGACGCCGTTCGGAAGGGGAAAGGTATTCATGTCGAAGCGTGTGACGATGCCAAAGTTGTTCGAGCCGCCCTTGAGAGCCCACCAAAGATCCTCATTCTCCGTGGCGTTGGCGTTGACAACTTTCCCACCAGCGAGAACGACCTCAAAGTTGGCCACATCGGCGCTGGAAAACCCGCGGCTGCTGAGAAATTGGGAGAAGCCGTCTACACAGCTTGATTAGAATTTATCGTTTCTTGCTCCAAGACAGCTTTCACTGGATGTGGAGACCTAAGGAAGGGGGAAACAGGGGTTGAAAGAGTAGAAAAGGGGAAAGGGGGGAAACACGTACTTCCAATCAAGAGCCCAGATATGCCGACGACTGCCAGCTCTCCTCCAGTAGCTGCAAGGCCTTGACTCTCGAGAGTCTCATAGACCCGGCCCCAGTTGTTGCCGGGACCGAGACTGACGACTTCCTTCGACGGGCTGACTGAGATGGCGTTCATCTTCTCCAAAGCAATGAGCACACCGTCCTCAATGCCCGCCATTCCAGGATGTGAAGTAAATCCTAGTCCGCGAATAGCAAACTTTCTCTGAAAAAATTCCAGGATCTGCACAGCAGAAGACACTTGCTCAGTGGTCTCCGGGGTGAAGACAGCGGACGCGTTTAGGCGCGGCCGGGAGCCGCTTTTAGGAGTCAGTAAAAGGATACGGAGCTTCAAGGCCTGAAAGAGGACAGGGAGAATGGACAGGGGATATACTCACAAGTACTTGTCAATCCAGGTAGGATAATCGGTAGTCGCGGGCAAGAAGACGTTGGCTGGATACAGAGCACTCAGAAGCTCCTCGGTGTAGTTGTTGCTGACCTGGGCACGCTGATAGATCTGGGTTATCTGATCCTGCATCAATCCGAGGGTGAGCATGAAGCTCGTGATCTGCTCTTTGTCGACTCTCATTGTAATCAGGAAATCAAAACGCGAAGTCTTGGAGGTGAAGGATTGAATTCTCCGTTGGAGTGAGCGAGTGAGTGGACAGCAGCGAGAACGAGTCGTGTATCGAGGCAAACCTATGAAAGAATGAAGTCCTGAAGCGACAGTTGCTGCTGATGTTATTGAAGTTATTGTGAATAATCGGCGAGTTATATGAATTGCCAATTTTTGTTCGTCGATCTCAACAAACTTCATCTGATGCCATCTTCCGCTCACGGAGCTCCGCGAATTCCGGGCCCCGAGTGCTGTTCTGCGCTTCGGGCCCGGGCGTTCGGTTGATCGGGGCGCCGTTGTGGGTTGAAGAGGTTCGGCGGGCGAAGACTAGACCACCACGCCACTTTGTTATTGAAAAGAATGAGTCACTCGGCCAGCCCAAATTGATTTATTCTCTTCCCTGCATGCTCTGCATGTCGACCACAAATAATGGCTGAGGGGATCCACCGTTCATGGAAAACCCATAGTCAATTATCAACAAGGAAAAGTTTTCATCGCTGGTTTTGATTTTTTTGCTGTGAACGTAGGGAAAACAACTCAACCAGCTTCACATTCACAACATTATGTTGATACTCATGTGATAGCACATTACTATTGATCTCCCGCCATTATCATGCATATTTTTAACAAAGAACTCTCTTCACATCGCACAGAGGTATTTGTGAGCTTGCTGAAGCGAAAGAGACCATAAGTGCTGGGCTATAGGGATGACGAATTTACACCACGTCTAAGACGCAATCTTTTAGGCTTAGACTATTAAACGTGGACAATACGTATTCGAGAAAGAGAGGTGGCCCGGCTGATTATATCGTGGGAAACCATATTTTTATTTCTTTGGCCATTCAATCAGTCTGCCGTTGTCAGTGAGTACTAAATAGACAGCAAGTCCAGCGGTTTTATTCATCCTCTACGTCTCAATCAGCACACCATCAGCGGCCCCGGCTTTTCAGCCCTGACGAAGTAAGACGTATTTTCATTCATATTCGACTGTTAAGAAAGCAAACGATGACGGAAGACGTAACTCAGTCGAAATCGTTTGTTAAAAAGTGACATTGACTTAAGACTAGCCTGTGGAGTTGTATGGTTGTGGGTTGGGCAAGTCTGGCATCCTCAACTCCACCATCTCCATTTCCACGCATTCACACGTAGGCGTAGCCCATATCATCCTACCAAGAATACGACCATCCTTTTCGAGCACCGCCATCCCGTCTTTGAGTGCCATTTGGTACTGAAGCCCAGGAATCCTCCACGCTCGCGCGAGCCGAACCTCATTCGCAGGCGCGTAGACCCCCGCGCGGAAGAGAGACGTTTTGTGGCAGTATGTGCAAGTTACGGATATGATTTTGGACGAGTTCCGCTTGTTGTGGACCGTACCGGCGTGCGTAAACATCTGCCCTAGACGACTCTGCGTAAATCCGTCCACAATGTTATTGAGGTACAAGGCGTCAGCAAGCCACATGATTGCGTCTGTCCCTGAGAGGCCGAGGGAGTCCACCCGCCAGTCTGGACGCCATGATCTGCAGACATAGTGATTCATGAGCATGTTTTCGAGGTCTTTGGCAATGCCTTGACTGTTGATGTGCTGAATCATGGTGTTCGTGTCTTCTCCAAACAGCCTAGTTCCGAGTGTGGCGACGAAGTCGTTCAGATCGGGGCCTGTTTGCGCCAGGGTCATTTCGGCGCAAGCGGCAAACTGATCAATCTCAGAGCACTATGGCACTTCAGAAAGCATGCTGACGACGCCGATTGATTGGAGCCTGGCGCAGATGGTATCCTCGTGCTGGCTGTCGATAGAGATCTTGGGTATATGGGCTGGGGGTGAGATCAATTCACCCATACCCCAAGTCCACACGTCATTGTAGCATTGAAACATGCTCGGTCTATCGGGTGGATCGGGCATCGATAGTTTTGGTGTCATTAGAAGGGGGCTGTAGTCCCCCGCGAGGATGCAAAGCCAAGCGACATGAAGATACCCTCGGCGGAAGTTTGGTTCAGGGGGCTCTTGATAGCTGCTCTGAGTTATGCCACGAAGACCATGCAAGAAGTCCATCTTGTCTCGACAGCCTCGTTTCGACAACAGGGCGAATGCCATTGCGAAATTCGTTCGACGAAGGGATCTAACCTGCTGTAACGGCCCTAGATTCCAGGGCACGAGGTTTTCCGAGGTTCGCATTCCGACGCTGCCCTCCAAAGCCCACACGTTGCCGTCGTAGGCCTTGGCTTCCCTTTGCCAGACTTCTTGTAGCGTTCTCAAAAAGGCGGGGTCGTCTCCGGTGTTACCTTCCACAAGTTGAAAGTCGCCCGTCATCATCCTGACTAATCGGCTGCGTACGAACTCCATGGCAGTCCACATACGCGTGAACCATTTCTCATTGCATACTGCAGTCAGGCCCCTGAGGCGTTCCTGGGAGGTCGTTCCATGATGTAGCTTGTCGACAACTGCCGGAGTAAGACCGTCAAAGTGTATGATAGTCGTCTGGGCTTCTTCGAAGATTCTATGGATGACCAAGAGGATGCGACTTTTCAGCTGGTCTGTCCATTGAGGAACGCTGATGTAGTCGTGCCAGAGCTCTGAGTTCGCAGGAAACTGTGGGTCTCTCTCGATACTGAGGAAAACTTGGACCGGGTTCTCGATTGCGAGGTGCCTCACTTCTGGGGGCTGAGGTGACAGGCTAGGTTGCTGCTGTATAGCCGATATCTTTGGACTCCAGACGTGGGAGACTGCTAACATGGGGACTTTTGCGCCTAGGACGCATTGCAGGTGTCGGTCGAACAGTAAGATATCAACTCCGAGAGGTAAATGGACCACTCTGCTGAACCTTTGGTGAGAACCGAGCTCAGTACGTCTAGAAGACACCCTGAAAGTCCGGACCAGAGCGTCGTGAATGAAGGGGCCTTTGCAGACAAGACATTGTAAGGCCTCGTGATGGGGCTCAACCCAAAACACTCGAAGGTCTGGTACTTCGTTCATGTTAAGTCAATCTTGAAGTCTGAGTCTGGCATTTACCTTGGTCATATGGAAAGAAGAAGAGATGATGACCACATTTTGAAGTCCGGGCTGGAGATGGAACGGCTGATATCGGAGCCAACAGAGATAGACGTTGTGGAGCAACTTCCACTTCAGCACCCAGCCTGCTGCATCGATAATCCACTTCAGGACACCGAGTTTCCAGAAAGAGAAAATATTGCCGTCGGATCACTTACCTGCATGATGCCTTTCAGGACAAGACCTCAAAAGAGAAAATGAAACTGTTAGATCACTGACCTGCATGGCGCTGATGACTCCGTCCTGTTACACTTAACAGTGGTTCCATCCATACGAGACAATTTGGACGAAAGACAACGAGGCTTGTAAAATAAGCAGTATGCGGGTCTTTCGTGATGTGTCATAAATCTCTTGCCATTTTTTTTCTTTTTTTTCCTTAGAGAATGAGAAGTTTGTAGAGCCGTTGCATCAAACGTCAAGGGTGAATGTCGACACCTCTATTGGGACCACGTAAATTCGACGCAGACTCCCCGCAAAAGGGCCACATTAATCTCACCCGGTATCTGGACCCTGTTTATATATGCTGTTTAGACACTTTGGTAAGCACTAGCTCACAATGGCATAAAGTAGGGCGAATTCATTGCTCGTTTTAGACCCTCTAAGCGTGAGTCACCTTTGCTCAACCTTGGTTGAAAGAATGGAGGAGTTTGACCACTTCTATGATCGCGCCAACAGCCGAGAAACATGACGTTCACGAGGGCTTTTCGAATCATGTATATGAAACTCCCTAGCAGGATTTTGTATTGAAATATCTCTATACATAGGAAAAAGGAGTAAGGAAACGCTTGAAAAAACAGGGTATGGGTATCTTGATCATCATGAAGCCAAATACGTCCGCGCCGACGCATAATGGCTTTTTCAATCCTGTAAAATATGCAACCGAAAGCACGTCCGAAGCCGACGCGCGGTGGTTGATAAGTCCTCATATCTCATGCACATACGTCTGTATCACCGACGCATTCGTGCTGAGCTCCATCACCGGAGCACCCCTACACACTCACACTCACACGAAGCCCCTTTTTAAGCAGAGGTGGAGGTGGCAGCAGGAGGAGCTCCGGAGCCGCTAGGGAAACCGGTGCCGCTGGGGGCGCCGCTGGGAGCATCGCCGCCGACACCGCCGGAGCCGGAGTTCTCGACGGCGACGCCGCCGGAGGAGGTGTACTCGAAGCTGTAGCTGGTGTCGTAGCTGGCGGTGCGGTTGATGCCGATGGTGATCCAGCCGAAGATGCCCTCAGCAACGTCGTCACCGAGGTAGGCGTACTGGAAGAAGGGGTCGGAGTCGGCGTTGCTGCCAAGCTCGTCGCCGACGACGTGGTCATCGCTGTTGAGGGTGATGTCGACGGTGTTGGTGTTGTAGGGGGCGAGGGCCTCGACGGCCTCGACGAGGTCCTGGTCCCAGAAGAGCTGGCCGATGTGGGCGGCGTGGGTGGAGGAGAGGGTGTTGTTGGGCAGGACGGTGGCGTCGAGGAACGCGACCATGTGGTGGTGGGTGGCGCGGCCGGAGTAGTGGCCCGGGAAGATGGTGGTGAACTGGACGACGCCGTCGTTGTCGGTCTTCTGGACGCCGCGGAGGGCCGTCTTGTTGAGGTTGGAGGCGTCGTCGCCGTTGCCGTTGGAGCTCTCCTGGACGCCCGAGTAGATACCCGTGGCGTTGCAGTTCCATAGGTCCCAGTAGAGGTCGGTGATGGGCTCGCAGGTCTCGACGTCGATGAACTGGCCGTCGAGGACGACGTCGACGCCGGGCTCGCCATCGCGGAGGTCGGAGCGGATGTGCTCGCCCTTGACCCAGAAGGGGCCGATCTCGCCCTCCGGATTGAGGATGCAGGTGTGGTTGGAGCCGAAGATGTCGGTGGACGGGGTGGACGTGTCGATGCCGACGTGGAGCGAGGTCTGGTTGTGGCCGGTGCCGGCGGAGTCGACGTCGCGCTTGGCCTTGCGGATGGCGCGGTGGTAGTCGATCGTCTGGGCACGGCGGACCATGGCGCGGGCCTGGAGGTCGCGGTAGACCTTGGTGTTGACGCAGTTCTCGAGGCCGCGGCGGGCGAGGCCGTGGTGCTCGTGGCGGGCGGCGAGGAGCGCCGGGTGGGACTCCTCGTGGTGGCCCGGGTGGGCGGCGCCGAGCATGACCGAAGTCAGGAGAAGGAGGACGGAGGAATGCATCTTGTTGGAAAGAGTGGTGAAGATGTTGTTTCTTGGTGTTGTAAAGATTGTGGGAGAGTATTTTGTTGAATGAGAGTGTTTGCTAGGCTGAGGTCTTGTTGATCCAGACTGGCTTGGTGATCTCCCTTTCAAGATTCCTTTCGAGGCTGGAATCATCATCTTCTTATAAGTGATTCTTTTGGCCCTTTCCATCTTCATCATCGGAGCCTCCGCTCTCCTATCCATCCACCCCTTTCCTCCTCTATCACGAAAGGGAAAAAAAAAACTGCAGCGCCCCTTCGCCTGACGTCTTCATCCCGCTATGCGTCACCCGTCGTCGTCACCGACTGCGTCCCTTCATGCTCTAGAATCCCAGAGGTTCATCCATTCTTTCTCGTCAAGTGGATTGCCCATCCGGACGAACGCCACATCGAGAAACAAGCAAACACCTTCCCGTGGATCTTAAAAGTCTTGGCAGTCGAGGCTAAAGCTTTTGACATCCTATGAATATCGTCAAAAGAGGCATTCACGTCGTCAACAATGTCCCGAAAACGTCAAACGAGTCGGTTGTGGTTGGTTCGCATTTGCCCCAGATTACACTGCCACGAAGCGAATCTGGGGCAAATGCGAGCCAACCACCACGCCGCAAATTCTCATCAGATCGTGGGTTTTTCTGGTGTTTAATATCAATCCTGGCCACCCCGCGGAATCCGTGGCATTACAGGCTTACATTGTGCGCAAGTTGATTGGTTCACGGGGAGTTTTTTTCTGCTCATCCTTAGATCGACGTTGGATCTGAAGTCGTAAGCTTTTTTACACCCCTTACTTCCCGCGCCCTACATCCCGGTCACTTTGTTTTTTTACATACACTACACAACAGCACACTACAGCCTCAAAACTGGGGTAAATTGACGACAAGGAATGGTTAGGTTAGGCGGAATGTGGGAGCGTAAAGTTGAGATCAACGTCGACTTAGACTAATTGCAGCCTACCCTTACGCGCGTTCTAGAAAAAGACAATTGACAGAAGCGAGCTCCATCACTGAGGCACTGTGCCGCGGTTCGGGGCCGACTTCTTTTCGGTATTCGGGTCCAATTAGAGTACCGATCTACTACAACCTCTACGGCGCAATCACAGAGTTGAGAGAGTTCCACTCTATGTACATACAGTCCGAACTTCTATGCGGGAAGTGGGACCCGCGGGCTTAGTCTATACACTTACGCCGTCGCCGCCGCCTTCTTCTTGGCCTGCCTCTTTTCAATCTTCTCCAGCTCCATGTCAATCTTCTTGAAACTCCAGCTCTTCCAGAAGGGAGGGTAGAGGAACGGGCGGAGGTCAAATCTGTTGTCGTCGGGGGCTATTTTTGGGGGTTGGAACGTCAGCGGAAATGCTCTTGACCCGATTGGACGATACGAAAAGGACTTACAGTAGTCGTTGCAGTGTAAGGATGGAGTGAGCGTCGTCATCTTGTGTCCTGTTCCCGTCGTCATTAGTAACTTGTTTTATGATGGAATGTGCGGATGAGACTCACGGTTGATTGCGTAAAAGTGGAAGAACTTCTTGACCTTCTCGGCCGTCTGTCTCGGGTTGTAAAGCGGTGCCTCATCATCCGGCGCACGCTCGCGGCGCTCGTCCCAGTCGTGGACGAGGCGCTGGAACATGCCATAGGGGCCCAGCTTATTCACCTTGCGGAGGCGGCCCATGATGGTGAGCTCCGGGTATGTCATGCCCATGTCGACCTCATCGCTCTGGACGTAAGTCTCCGAGATGGGTTCCTACGGGGGTGCGTGTGAGTGGGAACTGCTCCTCTGTACAGGTATGGGGGGAGGCAGCCTCGGTGTGAGGGAAGTGGGAGGAAAGATTGGGACTCACAAGTTCCGCAGTCGGGACCGCCGTGAGGAAGTCGTGGAGACACGGGATGCCAAAGTCCTTCTCGGCCCAGGCGATGAAGCGCTTGAGGTCGGACTTGTCGATGGACCCGATGGGGTTAATGTCGGCGCCTGTAAGGGTGTGTGTCAGTGTGTGTTTTTGTCAGGGGCGGGACCCGCGTATTCAGCGATTTGCGCGGGTTAGCACCCAAAGCCTCCCTGAGAGGCTCAAGGATGGGCATTCTTACTGGAGCAATCGTATCTATGTGAATATTAGTACATCAACGTCAGTGCTTACGTTTTATGAATCGCTTACTTGGTGAAGTATCCTCTCAAAGACTCGCCGACGTTGGCACTGCCCAAAACGAGCAAGCCACCACCACCAGGGCGGCCTCTGGCAGTGGGAAGAATCTGTCCGTACTCGTACGCCGTCACCATACGAATTCTCGCCTGGAGGCACTGCAGCATCAGGTTCTCCTGGACGGTGCCGCCTTCGACCTTGAACTTGGGCTCGAAGTTGTTTGTGGCTTTGAGGAGGTTCTTCTGCGCCTGGTAGATCTCGTCGATGTCGAGGTTGATGTGGTAGCTTCCAATGGCTTCGGCGAGGTCCTTTGCACGTCCGCGAGTCTCGGCAGAGCTCTGTTCCCTCATGCCCATGTAGATGGTTGAGAAGACCTGGTTGCAGAGGGCCTGTGGCGTCTTGGGGAGAACACCGTCGCCTTCGTACTTGGCGATGCGCTTTACGTCTTCGATTACCTGGTCGTTGCCCTCTTCGACAGCCTTCATCACGATGCGGCACATGGAAAATACGATTGCTACAATGGGTTAGTTGGTGTTGGGATAGGGGTTCAAAGAGACATACTTGCGGTTGCGCAGGAGTCGATACCACCACTGAGTGGAACGAGATATCCTGCTGTTCCAGACCGACGGAGATACTGTGAGCTGTCAGCTTCGCACATAAAAGAGATGCCGGTACTCTTACATCCCAAAGATAGCATCCAGCACACTGCGCAATCTCCTCCTCGACAGAGTAGAACTTGGGCTTAATAGGAGGTGAAGGACGCTTCTCAACATCCGCATCGTCGTCCTCGGAGCTCAGCTCGAAAGAAGTCTGGATCCTCTCGTACTTGGCATCAGACCGCGCAGCCTGCAGACCACGAGAGATCGCAGAGCGGTACGCCCGCACCTCCTCCAAGTCCACCGTCGCAGTGACGACCTCGACGTCGTTCAAGCTGAACTGCGACCCCTGCGCCACAACATCGCCGTTGACCAGAATCATGGCCGAGCCGTCGTAGTACAGCCTATCCCCGTCGCAGCCCTGCTGGTTGGCATACAGGTAGATGCCGCCGTTCTTGCGCGTGGCTTCCATGATGAGCTGCAGGCGGGTGTCGAGCTTCTGCAGGGTGAAGTGGGAGCCGCTGCTGTTGGTGATGATCTCGACGCCGTCGAGGGACATGGCGATGTGCGGGGCTTTGGGGGTGAAGAGCTCCTCGCAGGTCTCGGCGCCGAAGCAGGTGTCCGGGGTCGAGACGACGGCGTCGCCGAAGACGACGTGCGTGGCGCCCTGGATGTCCTGCAGGATGCGCGGCAGGTGGTACTGCTCGGTGGTGCGCGGGTGCATCCACGGGGTGAAGTGGCGCATCTCGCGGTAGTTGCCGTCGTTGGCGAGCCACATCTTGGGGCGGATCATGAGGATCTTGCCGTTGAGGCAGAGGACGCGGCAGTTGAAGCGCTGGTTGCGGTGCTGGACGGGCATGCCGATGTCGAGGAGGATGTCGTGGCAGGACTCGTCGAGGAGGATGCGGCGGAGCATCTCGAAGCAGTGCAGGTAGAGGTCCTGCTCGAGAAGGTGGTCGAGGCAGCCATAGCCGCAGATTTCGAGTTCCTGGGTTGATGTCAGTTGGTTGAAACTTCGCATATACTTTCCAAAGACTGAAGGAGTCGTTTGCTAAGCTGAGAGATACAAGTGACTCACAGGACCGACACGAAGTCGGGCTCCGGCGGCCTTGGCCTTTTGGATACTCTCAATAATGCGAGCAGTGTTGCCTTCCCACTAGAATTGCAGAGTTAGCATCGTCGACAACTCGTGATGAGGGGTAGAGACTCACGTCCAGAGCCCACTGGTTGAGCGAACATGTCGCTACCGTGACGAGGTGGCCCATGTTGATTATTTTTGTTCAAGTCTATGTTTCAATTAGTTGTCTGATATTCGAAAGGGTTTGTGGAATGACTTGCCTCAAGAGTTGCAGTCTCGTCCCGGATGCTCCTCAATATATGTTGAAGTGAGGAAGTTACGTACACTGCCTTGAGAGCAGATGACTCATCCAAAACCAGAAAGTCGAGCGCTTCTGTGAGTTGTAGAAAAACTTGAGAGTCGGCTGCGCCGTTTAAACGGAGAGAGAAATCGGATCTGTTCTTTCAAGCTCAAACACAAAACGTTCTGAACCGGAGAGCTTGACGGAGCAGTTTCGGCATTACGGGTCAGTTGGCTTCAGAGACTCAGCGGCGCATCTTATCAAACCCCTCACCCCGGTATCGCATGTTAGTGCGCATGCGCGTTCCTCCACCCAGACGCTAACATCTTCCCCCGTCACCCGTATGAACTGCTGCCTCCGACAAAGTCAGAAGGGCATGCGCGATTTTGGCAATTACGAGCACGAGCAGGATTCATAAATCTCACTATTCAATGACGCACGTTGAACCGCGTGTTCATCCCACCGTCAACAAAACATTTCGGGTGACATTCCACGGCTTGTAAGTGGTAGTCCTGATCCCTGTCAGGATCAATCCCCGCCATCAAGGCTGCTGGGCGCCGGGCCATGCACCACACATGCTGACAATTGCCGGCCGAGCTCCAGCGAGCCCCGGCAGCTGTCGCAGCGCCTCGGCTCAAATCTCCAACCACCAAAAACGACGCTGCGCATCTCAACACCATCACCTCCACGATACCCCCATCACGACCTTACTCAATACGATCCCCCGACGCCGCGCCACACCTCTCTACCATTTCAACTAGATCACCGAGGGCAAAGACACCACAACTAGACAAACAACAAACCCGCGCCCTGCCTCGCGCGCGCGCAATGCGCAATCACCATTCATAATGTCGTCCTCCCCCGAACAACCACAACACCCGACGCTCCCCTCCTCGCCATACCCCTACGCCTCCGCGCCCGACATCATCCGCGCCCACCAGAAAGACGCCTACTACAAAGGCCACCTCTCCAACACCCTCACCTCCCTCCACCGCCTGCTCCTCGGCGCCCGCTCCGCCCACTCCGCAACCTCCCTCCACCGCCTCCTCGCCGACACCCTCTACCTCGCCCTCACCACCCTGCCCGGCAACCGCACCCTCGGCGAGGAGTACTGCGACCTCGTCCAGCTCCACGTGCCCCCCAGCAACCCCTCCGCCGCCGAGCTGCCCGCCCTCCCCCGCCGCGCCTCCTACATCGCCACCTCCGTCCTCCTCCCCTACGCCCTCGGCCGCCTCCTCCCCTCCGTGCGCGCCCGCATCCGCGCCGTCCTGCAATCCTCCCTCCCCAAGGGCCAGCCCCAAACACCAGGCACGACCCGCCAAAAGCTCGCCGCCTACATCCTCGCCAACCTCCCCAGCCTCACCTCCGCCGCGCCCCTCCACGCCGCCACCCTCGCCGTCTTCTACTTCACCGGCACCTACTACGAGCTCGCCAAGCGCCTCCTCGGCTTTCGCTACGTCTTCACCCGCAAAGTCCCCGACTCCCCCGACCGCGCAGGCTACGAGGTCCTCGGCGTGCTCTTAGTGGCCCAGCTCGCCGTGCAATCCTACCTGCACATCCGCGCCACGATCTCCGACTTCTCCACCTCCCGCGCCGCCCGCGAGCGCGCCCTGGCCGCGGGCCATGTCGACGTGTCGCTCGATTCGAACGCGTACGCGGCGAACACGGCCGTGCTGCTCTCCGAGACGGGCACGCCCGGCGGGAACGGGGCCGGCGGGGCGAAGGTTGATATCGCCGCGGTCACGCACACGCCTGTGGTGGCGGCGGGCGAGGCGCGGTATGATCTGAGCGATGACAAGGTGATGGGGTACATTGCGGGCGCAGCGCAGCGGAAGTGCACGCTGTGTCTGGAGGAGCTGAAGGACCCGTCCGCGACGCAGTGCGGGCATGTGTTTTGCTGGACGTGTATTGGGGACTGGGTGAGGGAGAAGCCTGAGTGTCCCCTCTGTAGGCGGGAGGCGATGGTGCAGCATATCCTGCCCCTGAGGCTTGCGTGATGGGAAAGGGGGGTTAATTTTTAGCTGCCCGGTGAGGCGATGCGGAGTTTACTTTTGTACATTTACATTATTATTATTACAGTGAGCGGAGAGCTTTGGTGGTTAAGACCAGTGGTGGTATTTCATCCTGAGTGTATGCAGGACTGGAGTTTTCATGAACAAAGGCATCCGAAGCAAAAGAGTTTGTACGAAATGAATTATATACCACAGAATAGAGGTACACTCATGAGATGATACAAAAGGTATTAGCACACTCCCTTCACAATTGTCAAAATCAACAAGATGCTCAGAGAAATGCAACGAGAGACAGAAAACGTGTTGGTCGACCTTCCTACTCAATACACAGAAGAGTTTGAAAAAGTGTGAAGAAATATCCCCCCCTAGACACTGTGTCTCCGCCGCGCTTCATATCAATGGATCAGATGGCTCGTCGGTTATAAGCTTTGAAGACCAGCTTCCTGGGAGTAATGCCGACCATTGGATACGATGAACGGGGGACCAGTATCAAAAAAGAGGAGAGAAAATAAAAAGTGATACTGTTTGTCGACCAAGACAAGTGATCCGAACACCTTTCCCCCACCCCCACCCAATGGTCCGCCCTGTCTCCCCTTGAGGAGGGCCCGTTTGCCCATTCCAGGGCTCGATGGCTCTCTATTCCATCGTGTAGGTATCATGTGCCATTGTGCGTTCCAATAAAAACAGTGGAAAAAAAAAACATCAAACGCTTAAACTCCGTATCCTTTATGAGTTCCCCAGCCCGGTTATCCGTTGGTTACAAAAGGGTGTTTGGGGGTTGGAGATTTAACTCAAGCAGCGAAGACTGCTCAGGCAGTGAAGAGTACAATCTCTCCACGCTCGTTGCGCCTCATGCGCAGGGAGCGCCACAGCTCCTTCTCCTCCATTAGCTTGCTGAGGCTGTCGCCGGAGGAGGAGCGCTCGCGGTGGAAGCGCTTCAGGGCCTTGTTCATGCTGCAGCCGCGCTCGCTCTCGGGCCCCTTGTTGACGAGGGACAGGAAGACGTCGGCGCGGGGGCGGAAGACGACCATCTGGTTGTCGTCGCCGTCGCCGTCCTTCTTGCTGTCGCGGGAGCCGGGGCGGTACTCGATGAGCTTGGGGGCCTTCTCGCCGTCGCGGTGGCGGTGCGAGGAGTGCTTCTTGGAGGAGGACGAGACCTTGCGCTTCTTGGCCTTGGTCTTGCTGCTGGTGTTCATGTTGAGGAGGCCGAGAATGTTGTTGCCGATGCCTCCCTCGGAGGACTTCTTGTGCTTGGAGTGCTTCGTCTTCTTCAGCGGGCTGAGAGGGGACGGGTCGGCGTCGCCGCCGGAGAAGTCGGGCGACGGGGGGAAGACGGGACGCATCATGGTCTTGATGCCGCCGGTGAGGCCTGAGTGCTGGAGCTGGGGCGGGGCGTCGATCATCATCTGGTCGGTGTCGACGTGAAGACGCTTGCGCTTCTTGTCCTTCTTCTCACTGCCGTCCTTCCTCCTTCTCTCGTGCTTGGGGGCGGGTGTCTCGTAAGGGTCGAGGGGAATGGAGCCGGCGCCGTATTGGACCATAGCCTGGGGGTCCTCGTCGACCATGGCGCCGTCCTCGTCCAGGAAGGTGCTCGCTTCATAGCGAACCAGTTGTGTCTCTTCGTTGACTTCCTTCTGGCCGAGCTGGAGCGTTGAGGCGGTGGGTGTTGCTGCTTCGAGGAAGTCAAAGACATTGGGAGCGGAGGGAGGTGTAGGTGCTTCGGGTAGGTTGGCCGGGGAGGCACCGTCGTCGCTGCCGCCGCCCTGGTATTCGTAGGTTTCGAAGACGTCCTCGGGGACGTCCTCAACGTATGCTACATGAGCCATGTTGTCGTCGGGAAGGGGTACGTTTTGCGGCTGGATGTTGTTTCTATTGTTCTGCTTCTTATTGTTGTTGATGTTCTTCTCCTTGTAGAGGGCGCCTTGGTACTTTTGGGCTTCGCTCATGCAACTCTGGCGTTGGGTTAGCACATGACTACCTTAGCCTCGGAGACGGCGCCCGTTGGCGGCTCGATGAGGAACTGGTGGGACTTACGGTATGAGAACGATATTCGGTGCCGGGGAAGTAGACCATGCAATCGATGCAAGTGTAAGTGGCGCCTCGACAACGGTTTCTGTGCGGGTCGAGCTTCTTCTTCGTCAAGACATCACCACAGTTCTGTGGTTGAGCAAAGCGACAGGTCAGTGATGTTGCGCAGGATTTGCTAGAGCAAGATAATTGGATTCTTGGGGGATGAAGAAGGGTGTATGGTCGGGGAGGCGAAGGAGGGACGGGACGAGACAGTGACTATTAAAGAGCATCCAAGGGGAAGTGGAGGGGTGTTTGTTTCCGTTGCTGGAGGGGTGTGTGTCTGGTGTCTTGCTTGTATGGAAGGTGTGTGGTGTGAGGATGTGATGTCAGGTCAAGAGGTTATAATAAGACGACATGGGGATCCTCGGGGGGGTTACCGACGGGGGGTCGTACGGAGAAGTAAAGGGACCCTTGGGATGGAGGGGGAAGAGGACGAAGAGGAAGAAAAGAGGGCGACGGGCGGGCTTACCTCACAAGAGAAGGACACCATGATGAAGGGAGCGACGCTGTACGATGATGTGTTGTCCTTACAATGGGCTTCTATTGGGCGCGGGACGTTGGGCTGAGAACGGTTTTGACTGGGTCGCGGTATTTAACGGAAGAGAATGAAAGGCGGTTTGGGGAGGCGACGGAATGGCCGTGGTGTATCTGTCGGCAGGCGGATTTGCAGAGTGCAGATTCAGGGCGGCGCCTGACTGGCCGGGCTGGCGGGCTTGGGGGATCGTCAAGAAGTGGACTGCAATGCAAGCCGGGACGTGCCTTGTACGAGACGAACAAGGGCAGACTGGGGGACGACACTGAGTGTTTTGGAGCTTTGGGAAGCGT